ATATAAAAGTATTCGTTGTTGACCAAATATTGATTGGTAGATGTTTTAAAGGTTTCAAGTGATCTTCATATTTCCAAGGGCATACGGAGTATAATTTTGAGTGCAAAATAATTAGTGGTTGTCTAGATAAAAATATTGCATGACCCCTGTTGTGACGTAACATGCATATCTACAAAAATCCAAGATGGCGGACATTTCATTTCTTTCGATTAAAATATTTGTAGAAGTAAGTAATATATGAAAAAACGGTAAAAGAGTTTTATATATGGTTTTAAATGTTCTTTCAAACGAGAAAATAAAAAAATATATTGCCATTTCCCTTTAAGTCAACTTAGTATTGGTTTAGGCATTTCAATGAGGAAGACTGAAAATCCGTCAGGCGTCAGGAAAGAATAGTTTAGCATAAGGCCAAGAATGTGCCGTATTTAAATAATAAAGGAAAGTTTATTGGGTAAAGTCAATATGGAAATATCAAATAGGCTCACATCACATGGCTGACATGAATAATTTATTGGATTTATGTATCATGCTGCCTTCATTTAACTAGCAATTAAAATGACTCGAGGTACGTATCTGTATACGATTTGAAATATGTAATGGTCTACATTACAGCTATTTTGAGTATGTCCATTTTAAGTTAAAAAGCCAGTATCACTTTGGCATATATAACTAACAAGATGTCACTAATACGATATGAAATTAGACGGTTGCATAAAGCTGTTCAAATATATCATTTAAGGGCACACTTTGATTTCATCCGGCTTCCAATTTATTTAATTTGTGCAATACATGTTATAGTATTCCAGCGCTTACTCGACTAGAACTGCAGTAAAGTATAGTGGACAGTAAAGAATTAAATTCACACCAGTGAACATCACTCTCTCTCCATGGCATAGCACTTTTCTCATGAGACGAATCAACTATGTCCAACTATTATAAGGATATATTGAAGTGTGCGTTGTATTGCACTGTCTCGTCTTTTAGTTAATCTCGTTTTAGTTGCCCATGCAGGAAAACTTGATTTATTCATTAATAAATGGCCTAACCCACGACAAACGCAAAAGGGATTTTGTTATAGACCAGCCAATTCTACACAACGCCAACTTACTGAGAGTTATGGCTCGCGTTATGGGGGTTGCATACTTCAAACGAGTGAAACGACCCCAGACGCGACCCTAAGAAGACTAAGAAAGGATTTCCACTCACAGAAAATATTTCATAGTCGAAATGTTTCGTTTGATTTCTTTTGAATTGCGACCATCCGAATAAATCAATCAGTTCTATATTCAAAAGAAATTGTAAGCTAGTCAATTTGAGTAAGCAAGTAAGCAACTCACTGTAACTCTGCAACTGAATCTTGTTTGGCGAAATGTCGTGCCAAATGTTGACCATACGTATCGACATATTCATTAACGTTTTTATGCAACAGGTCCCAAATAAAATCAATTGAACGTTACATGCACTAGTGCCAACCCAAGGCTCGATAACCTGCTCGGTGTACGGGTGGGCTAACTCAAGCCTTTAGGAAATACATTAGAACTAAAAGTTAAAACTAAATGAAACATGCTGAATAAAACATTGGCCTAATGATTCACACCCAGGAAATTGAGATTTACAGTCGCTAAAAGCCTGGCCGCAAATATATAATAGGTAGGGAAGAGCTAATGTATTTCCTTTTCCGAGTGAAGCAAAACGTTCGAGCCAAAGGAAGGAAGTGCTCTTAAAATATTCAAGTAATAACATATTTAAATGTTGTGAGAACAGCTGCAATCAACACTAAGAAGATTAACCAATAAAAAACGAGTAGACACTGTCAACAACCGAGGAGGCTCGCGGCTTTACTTCGGCAATGAATGTTAATATAGTTATTTTCGACTCACATGCAAACATTACTAAATTGTTTCCAAGATAAAACTAATTTTAAGAATTCTTTACAAAACCTAAACCTTCAATTTTCTGAAGCAACTTAATTTTCTTGATATCAATACATCAAACATGTTTGTGGGAATGTAAATTAAATGATTCGTCACGGTTAAGTGTACACATTAAATGGGCAATTGAAGCACCGCTGCTTTGGTTTCTTTGTTCGACCCGCATCTACTCCGCAGGTCGAGGGACAGTGCCAAAACCCCATATATATCATATATTACACAACAACGTATAGTTTATTCGAGTATTTGACAACTTTTATAAGAAAACAAAATCTTTTGTCGCCATAAAGTATACAGTACATCAGTTGCGAATATATCACTACAGTCGCAATTAACCTTGCTTTTCTATGCCAATGTACGAACTCCAATAGGAGCTTGTATGGTTATAGAAAGTTAGCTTTGTCAAGTCCCAATATACAAATCTACGTCTATATTTAATATATCCAAACCATATCTACAGCACCTAATGCCAATGAGGTACATTAATACCAACTATTGTGTAACAAAAAAAATCGAACACGGACCGAGAATTGTAATTGATGCACGAATCTGATGAGGGATAAAAAGCGGGTATCATAAAAAAATGACTATCACTTTATTTTTATTTACAAATTATTCACAATGGAAAGAAATGAAACAGGGATACGTTTACAAAAGTCTGAGCGTCTGTGCAAACAAAAATGTTGGGCACGCCAGGGAAAAGTTTCTGCGTATATCTAAATGAAATGCTAAAGCTACATAGTACACACACACGTAATGATAGTTACTATTTAAAATGTCACAATTTTGATACTTTGCCAATGTTAAAATAGAGGCATTTTGATAAAATCTGCACTGCGAAACACTATAAAATTACACCTGAAATGGCATATTATTTAGAAATGTGAACAATATTTAACAGCGAAATTTATATTATTGTCGTTTGAGTGTAAGTTTATAGCCGAGAGCTAGCAGTGGGGTTTCCAATGTTATTACTAATAATTACAAGTTATAAACTCACATATGTGTCAATGGCATAGTGGCAGCGCTTGGATTAGGCCTAATAACGCTAGCATTCATAGTATTTCTGTCCATATGGGTTGTGCTATATTGAGTAGAGTCTTGATGTTGAAAATGTTCTACATGATTAGTTCTTGTTTGATGATTAACAGTTGCATCTGCAGGTAGATATACATTGATCATTTCATGTAGATCTCCTGGATAACTCCGTCTTGATACTTGTTCACTATCTAACTCTTTCTTGATTTGAACTCCGCCATTTGTGAGCATTATAGTTTCTTGCGGATAACTTACTGCTGGCATTGTCTGTATATCACTGCCGTTTGTCAGATGCTGTTCTGAATTATAACTATATATCTGTCCACCTTGAATAGTATATACAGAAGCTGGATAATACGAACTTGCTGAGGTGCTAACTCCTTGGAATGGTGTGTTAGATAACGCTGTGTTATACCCGGAGTTATACATTGTATTGTATAAATCTTGTGTAGGATACCCAAGATTAGGATATGAATAATAATCACTAACTTGTGCAATATCCCTCTGTACTGGTGGCCCACCTTCACAATTTCCAAGTAAAGGAAGGTTATATTTCTCTTTCTTCAGTAAGGTCTTTGTCTTTCTACGTGGACGATATTTGTAGTCAGGGAAATCTTTCATATGTTGGGCACGCAGCCGTTTCGCCTCCTCAATGTACGGCTGTTTATCATTTGTACTTAATTTTTTCCACTTATCTCCAAGTCTTTTAGAGATTTCCGAATTATGCATCTTGGGGTTTTCTTGAGCCATAACTCGCCGCTTTTCTCGCGACCAAACCATGAATGCGTTCATCGGCCTCTTCACTCGGTCAGGATCACGATCAGAACCCGCCGCCATCTTGGATGAATTTTTATGTTCAGTGTTCGTGGAAAACTCATCTCCTAGATTTATGTCATGGTCAGACGCCATATTGACGGAGCCATTTCTATTATTATTAACAACGCCACTTGAGATGTCCAAAATATTCATATGTCCAGTTAAACGACCAGGATCCGCAATAATGCCCTGTGTATGAGATGTGTCTACATCACACTCTGTTGTTTGACTCAAGTCTGTACAATCCAACGGTTCTTGTTTAATAAGCTCTGTATTCAGCAACATTTTTACATTCACCGGTTGTGAGCCGTTCATGTTATAGTTAGCAGACATGACCGAGTCCAAAGCTGCATTCAGAGGACATTTTAACCGGCCAGGATCGGGCATGTTAGTGACCGGTGGTGAATTTCTATTATAGTTCGTTGTGATCACGGTTTCCAACGTCGTTAAATTACGCGAAGCCATATATTACACTGGCCAGCGATCCTTGTAAAGATTGTCAACACACTTGGTTCACAAATGAAGAAGTGATTAAAAGTATTTTGAACTTTGACAGTACTAATATTCGTTCAATCGCTAAACTGTCTAGCCATGGCGAGAATCGTTATTTTTGAGCTCATTGCCATGCAGTGTATTGATTGACAGTGCGCGAGTCGTTCAACCGTAAGCCAATCAGCGTCAAGTACTTGACGAAAGATAAAGCTGCTTAACATGAGCCGCTCCGGACTTGACGACAGAGGAAAAGTATAAGGAAAAGCTAATGAAATACGGAGTTATTTACATTCACAGTTTAGCAAACGTACCGCATTTTAAATGAAATCTCTGCCCTCAGCTGTTTCAATTAAGCACTAATCAAGTAAGGCAAAGGAAGTGAGCGGTCAGGTCGGTATTCAAGACCGCCAGCACGAAATATTCTTCCCACTAACTTGCAGGTGTTTACATGCCTCATCGCGCACGTGCACTGATTACGAATGAAATACTCAATAAATACACAACTTACCTCACTTTGGAAACACACACTTTAGTTTTACTCGTGTTTGCCTATATAATCATAGTAAATTCCTATAAAATACACATACTAAATTCAACTTTCGACAACACAGCTAATCCGTTTCTATGGTGATGTTTTAGAGCAAATTTGCATTGGCCTCTTTCCATAGCATCTCGACTAATTAATTTTCTATGCTAAAGCTCATCGATCACCCAATATCAGAGCCGTCAAACATTGAAGCAGTTACGACCTCAGGCTTAGTCTTTGTATCTGTTCAAATGGTATATACGACGATATAAAGCATTTTTTTCAAAACATGTTCAATTTGCAAAAGAATTTTAATAAAGTATGAAAATAAAGCGAGCGGCAACAGTTTTAAGATTTAAGATCTTAATTCCGCCCACCTTCCTTAAGTCACCTTCTTCAAATTGGCACCGGAACTCTGCTTATAACTCAACTCAATATGTACCGCTTGTCACAGACAAAATAATGCATTGTGATATGAATCTGTTTATCAAAAGTTTTATTCTTCATGCACTACTAGTCCAATAAACATACCCATCTATTGAATATTTTTATCTTTCTGCAAAATAAATATATGTATAGGTGTAAGAACGAATAACGAAATATTAATTATAAATTCCAAGTATAAACGTTTGATAACCAACTCTTTTGCTTTGTCTACCTTCATTGTTCAAAGACTTCTAAATAATACAGTTAAGCCTACTTTACACTACCAAAGTTTCTGTAATCAAAAGTGGGAATTTTGCACGGGTAAATTCTAAGTTTTGAAGGATTTGTAAGAAATGCTTGAGGGAACTGATTCAGTGTTAAACAGTAATTCCCTCAAACATTTCTTACAAATCTTTCAAAACTTAGAATTTAACTTTGGTAGTGTAAACCAGCCTTCAAAATAGTGAACTATAAAAATTTCAGTTCCACGTACGTATAAACAAAAACCCAAGTTGACTATTTTCTATGACTTCTCAGTCATTCCTACTGTAAAATCTAAATACTACGGAACTATAATTGAATTTCAATATAAAAATTATACTAGTGATTCCCAAAATCTAAACCAAAAACTATTCTATAGACTATACATTCTGCATTATATTACAAAGCTCACGATGTGTTGAAGTGTTTCTGAAGCAAGACCAGCGTACGTCGAACATCGAGCAGGACATGTTCATTGAGGTTCAGTACCTGTATAGAAATACAATGAATGAGGCTACAATCTGCAACAGAAACTGATTTCATCGCATGTTAATAAAAGATGTTCATGCATAAACTTTTCTTATTATTGTAACATGCATTGAAATCAGTTCTTGTTGCAAGCTCTAGTATAGTTTTGTTGTTCGAATTACTTCACCCTAAGCCACTTAGCAAATTAAAATGCCTCTAGGTTATTGTTATTAATGTGGGCAAGTGGTGTTGTATCCGATACGACAGCAGGCACGTGTCAAACTAACAGGATTTAACAGTATTAATATAACATGAAATTAAATCTCACTGCTTAAAAGAATAGGGTAATTTTGTAATCTACGTAACAACGTAGATCGGATGGGGAGGGATGATCTGGGGTGATGACAGTATTATGTAGATGTTATTTATTACCAAAATGTTACAGTTTGTCATAGCGTATCATTTAACTCAATCAACGGTTTACTGGAATGAACTATCAACATTGAAAACAGAAATAGCCTAGTCAAAGACACTTAAACTGATATTAGCCAAAACTGTACACAATATAAAAATGTGAATTTATAAATTTAGATATAAGACATTTTTATTTTAAAATTGTGAATAAACACCACATGTACAAGAAATGCTCGTCCTTTGTTGTACAAAGAGCAGAACACGAATATGTTTTTATAGCAAACTGAGCTTAACATGAAAAATTGAATAACGAAAAACACCTCATTTATATTCATATCTGAAAAACACTTGATATATTGGCGCTACAACACAATCCTTTCTTCAATCAACTTTCGTCAACTATACGCGTGCATGCAATAAAGATAAAACTAAAATTCCAAATGGACTAATAAGCTGAAATATCCTCATGTTAAATTGATGAAATTAAAGCATATATGTACCTCGATACGATATCTAAAATATTTATGCTGCGCGTTGAAAATCAGTTCATGCAATATTAATCACTTCGGTGCGAAGATTGTTTTTCCTATGTTAACAGTGAGACAGTTAATTTTAATAGCTGGACATTAATCTCAAGGTAAATACAGGGCAAATGAAATTAAATTTCGTGTACAGACGGTAGGGAGTAGCCAGAAATCATGCTACCGCAAGTAATATTTAATGTATTCAAACACATCAACGCCTACACTGTAGGCTACATTGATACTCCCACACACGATGAGACTGCATTAAATCATGATTAACATCAACGTTTAGACAGCATACTGTTTAAAATGTCAACATTCACAGATAGGAATAATTATCAGGTATTCACATCTCAGGCAGTCTAAAATGAAACCCAGTAGGTCAATAAAACATTAAATATCATTATTCAACACGCAAGTGGTTTTATATATCGTCATTCTCGATGTTATTCTTTGACTTCATGACAGCCATATTGGATGAACGCAACAGAAGTATATCATTATAGCAGTTTTGGAGCGTGTTTCTCCTACATTATCTCCGTACCTTTTCTTATTAAATCTCATGGGATTGAATGCAAACCACCAATACTGGCATTGAAAAAACTAAATATGCTTGTATGTATAATTTCAACAAATTTTGAAGGTATCATATACAAATGTATTTAAGAGCACAAAACTCAAAAGATACAGTAAACATTTGATGTACAATTTCGTAAACTCATAGCGTTGCCATTATAGTGGCGTTTAAAATGCGTGTAAGATGTCGATGTACTGTGTCATTTAATTTTTGATAGAAATATGATTACTAATATATATATATATATATATATATATATATATATATATATATATATATATATATATATATATATATATATATATATATATATATATATATATGAACTTGCGTCGCAAGGTGACAGAAAATCATCTTACTGACTATTGCCAATTGAAGTTTAATTAAGCTACGAGTCCGCTTGAGATTGAGCGGAGAAACATTGAATGTATAGAAGTCTGATATAATGACGCCTGAAAACAACTTAAAATCGACGAGAACATTTCATGTACATACTGAACAAATTCTGTATTAAAACAGTATGAACTATGCCATTATAGCAAAATAGCGAACTTAATGAGAACCACTTTAACCAAAACCGGACATACGGTGCATTAAGAATATTGTTGCCATTAAAACAGGCAGGAAAGAGTTAGGAGCAATTTCCCGTTTTTAATCATTCTGTAAGTCGTTATATTTGCGAAAACGGGGACAGGATTGCATGGTTGTCATTCAGAGACTACGTCTAGATGATTACTAGATCTACGTCATTTCCTCGTACTTTAAGGAATATGCTTGAAAAAAGTTCCAATATATAATTTAAAAATTTATTAGTTCGGTAACGCCAACGGTTTTGTTTCAACCATATTTCAACCAACGAAATATTTCTTATTAAGAAAAAAATAACAGTTGGTAACAAAAGGCTTTCCCTGTCAAACTAAAAGGCTTTTCAATTCAATTCAACTCAAATGTTAGCCTTTTCAATCTGCTATATTATAAATTTTTAATTAAAATGATGAAATCCTACATAGATTAATATAGCAAGTTAATTGGGTGATATTAGTCATTTGTTAACTACCGGCAATGCCAGGTCACACATAACTCTACCAAATATTGATTTGGGAAAGATGTTAGGAACACATATAATTGGTCTGCTGCATATTTAACTTTTTTTCAATAAATGTTAAAACAGACTGAAATATTTTTAAGGCTAAGGTCGTAAGGATTGCGCATTTCTAAAGTAAATACACCACGACTTATGTATGCACAGCTGACGCAGTCAGTCTAACAGTAAAAAATATATAAACTAGAAGTTACTATCGCAACTACAGTGCTGCAACATGCAAACGTGCATGGAAAAATGTATGAACGAATGAATGACGAAGATTTTTTTCCCAACGGTAAAAACAAGTATTGCTATCACAATAGTCTGGGACATTCTGACGCTTCTAAAACCGGATATTTTTCTGAAAAAAGGAAACAGTAACTTCAGCACAATATCGGTAATGGCCTACATTTCTGAGCAGTTAATTTCATGCTGGGGTCGAAAGGTATAACAAAACCATCTTTCCAAATGTTGTACATTTAAAAATAGAAGGGCTTAGACTGTAAGAAGGCTTTTTAAGAACACTTGATCTTAGCATCCGGTGAAAAACGAGACTTCTTAACTTTTGAGCAAGCTTGCCAAATTGAAGCGTGCTCAGACATGCATGGACACGACTGAGTGAGAAAGCAAGTGCAACGCGTTGGTATAGATTTTTTTCAAATAACATTATACTCTTCATACAGGGGAGGGGGCGTACAAGTTGTGAAAATGTTTTGAACAAGTATAACTTGCCACAACCATTAAGTCTAAGGATAATAAATAAGCCTTTGCAGCTGTCGTCGGAACATTTTTTTTCGAAACAGTGTAAACTATACTTTTTGCAAAGACCAAGCTTATAATCACATTAACTTATAATAAGGTCATTACCGCTTCGCATAATCGCATTAATGGTTAATGTGTTAAAGCAAGATGGGAAAAACTATTTGAGTTGAAGTCAAATTATGGTAAAAGCTAATATCATATAAGGAACACCCGTCCTGCATGCCGGTGAGATGCCAGAGAATAAATAATTTCGAGTTCTACAATATTCCACAACATTTTTGGGTTGAATGCAGTTTTTTAAATAAAATATTGTATAAAATTTCAGTACTCAATGGCATTTTTTTATCTCTTCACTCTTTTAATAGTATCAAAGTGCCACATACCACACGTCGTCTATTAAGCATGGTGCCTATTTATTTTTCAAGCTCGGCTGAGGGGGAGGGCTTATTGAAACAGGGTGGGCTACTAATTTAGTAAAATATTCATGGTTTTTATTAGAATTTTACTAGATTTAATCAGCACATATATGTTTCTTTGTTATTAACGGGGGGGAGGGAGGCTTAAGAGAAAGGGGGTCTACTGTACATAAATTCCGTCCTGTAGAAAGGGAAGGCTTATTAGAGGATGGGGTTACTGGAGAATATACGGTAGTTAACTGTCCAAACCAGGGAATACGTATTTGTAGGGCTTGCATCATGTGCTCGTAGAATACTTACAGGATGGCGAAGATATTGTAGTTCCAATAATTCTTCAAGTCGCAATTCAGCCTGAGCAATAGTTACTCCAGGAAGTTCTAAAACAGATATGAATATAGAGATTGCAGATAGACTAAGAGAATGGTAAATGAAATGAAGGCTAGATACAGTAGTTCTTGTCCGGAGATGATCCGACAAATGATTGAGTAAATCGATCACAACCATACAGGTTTATTATACCCTTTGGAATACAGCCTTTGCCTGATCCCGAGCCATAATTCATTTTTCCACATTGTAGCTAGTACCACTGGTAACTCACATTTTAGTTACGACACTATAAGCATAAAATATTATCACCCCATGTTTCATCCCTCGCGCAGATATCAGGACTACCTAATTCCTGCAGTTGTATTGTATTGTATTGTATGTATATGTCTATAATATTGTGGCAAATCTATTAAAACTAAAATATCGTAGACATTATAAACAGCAGAAAGGTTGGCCTAACAAAATGTATATATTAAATAGTATTATAATAATAGGAAAAAAGTTTACCTTTTGATAACAAGGACACTTTATAAATTCCACGGGAGGGACTTTTTATCGTAAAATATAAACTTGATTTTCTAAAAACAGTAAAAAGTTCATGAGCTGTTTTTCTATAATTAGCAATGTAAATAGTGAAAATTTCTATTTATGGTAAGAACCTTTTATCAATTAACTTCATCTATCGTTTCCGTATAAAAAAGGGGGGTTGGGTGGTGGGTTTTGGTAGTCCCAATCCCAGTTTCCCAGCCCAAATTTGGACCAAATCCCATCCTCCCAGTTTTGCTCAAATCCAAATCCCATTTTTAAATTTGCTTTGTTGGTAAATCCCAGTCCCAGTGCATGGAATCCCATTTTCCCAGCTCCCATTGTACCCCTTCAGGACCCTCTTTAGACGCTACTATACGATGATCAACTTTATTTAAACACACAAATCTTTTCAACACACAGCTGATCTCCAAAAGAAGTGGTTAACATTACAAAACACAAATTTATATACTAAAACGTATTTAAATATTAAATACTATATTAATTATGTCCAACATGCAATAACTTATATACTAACTAAACAATACATTTAACCAAGACAGCTAATTTCTAAAAACAAGTCGAGGAAGAAAGCTTTTTGCAAAACGAATCATATGATACCGAAGTTCTTATCTCTTCCGGTATCTGATTCCATATTTGAGCCACACTGTAACTGAAACATTTTTTACGAATTCCGTCCGAGGCCTGGGAATAAAAAGCCTAGTCGAAGAACCCCTTAAATTGTAATCATTTATTGACTTCGAATTTTGAAAATTGTCGAACAAACTTCGAGGGGCTAATTGATTGCACGTTTTGTACATGATCCTGGCTTTCATTTGCGCCCTACGTTCGTCAAGTGATATCCAACCAAGAGCATTATATACAAGCCAAAATAGACTGACTGGATTCATTTTTGAAATTCATGATCAGTCTAGGCACTCTATTTTGTATTTTGTGAAGGCGTTAACTAAGACCTTTGCCAAGTGCATCCCAAACTTCACAACAATAATCAAAATGAGGCTGAATTAAAGCATTATATATCAATACCAAAGTGTTTCGATCACCAAATTCCTTAAGTTTTCTTATAGCTCCAATACCGGACATATTTTACTAGCAATTGATTAATGAATTCAATATGTTTCCCCCAATTTAAATTCTTGTCAATCTAACTCCAAGCACTTTGACATGTTTAACTCTTTTGATCGACTAGCTATCGGTTTTAACTCTAGGTTAGGCATCCATATTTGTTATCTTATGCCGTGATCCAATCAGAACGTACTCAGTTTTCCCAATATTTAAACTAAGTTTATTTGCACACAGCCACTTTCGGACATTCATCAGGTCTTCATCTGCCCTCTCCTACACTTCATCCAATGTTTCACCAACAGCTGTCAGGCTGGTATCATCTGCTGACATTCTAGATGTTGTGTGTTTGAGACAATTTGGCAAATCATTTATATATATGATGAACAGAAGTTGTTGTTTGGAACTAAGTCTACACGTTTTTGATAATTTACGTGACACCTTACCTAAATGCAAACTCGCCCTCTCGACAAACTCCCCCTAAATGCAAACTCCCCCTCCCATACTGACAAGCTCATCAGAAATGGTCAAGGCGGCTTTCGCTAAGTGCCAAGACTTCAAGTTCTTTATCATGCAATAATACTAATTTCATCAAGATGTTTTGTTAGGCTGACTACGTTAAGCATAGCCATTTAAAAACCTCTTGTTTTAGGAATATTAAACCTGGTTTCATGAGCTTTTTTCCTCGGCCTTTCATCATTTTAATCATGAGATTTTAAAATATTTGCTATGTTTTCCTGTAACAAGTCACTACCTTCGCGATTTAAATGTAAACCCCTATGGTTTAAAAGTGAACGACTTGTGTTACTGTTATCTACGATATCGACTTATGTTACTGTTTTACTTTTACAGTGTGGAGACTGCATGGTTTGATTCGCATCTGACGACACAACCATGGTAAATTATTCTCAATCTTGAGCAACTCGTGTGTGCATATAATGAAAAATCCTTTTTTATGAACCTACCGTTTTTCCGGCACATCGTGACTTTCAATGATAATCCCATCTTTCTCAAGCTGTGTAAAGGACAACTTGACATTACCAGGTGATTTGTGGCTAGATTTGTGAACTAGACCCCCGTCCTGAAACAAAGGAAAATATTATTGAGTTACTATACTTCTCATATTTACGCGTGATTGAGTGCTTCAGGTATCCGAAAAACCTTGTCGATTGTTGTTTTATTAAGAACAAACGTCTTAACAAACCACGTTTATAGAGTTGATATAGCTACAGTAATTGCAACTGGACTTTTTGTCAACCCCAAATTGAAATTATATATTCATGAATAGCGAGGAAATTAGCATTTTCACTTACTCATTTTCTAACTTACATGGAGGAATGAGTTGTACTGTAGATCTCTCCTCCACAGAGGCTCTCTGGATTTTCTTGTGAAAAGGCATGCACTAGAGGGTAATAAACTAAAGGCGCTATTGAGGAAAGGCGAACACTCTGGCGCCTTTCAATAAATTCCGAAGAAAGTCCAAAAATCGCACTAAAAAGTCTTTGCGAAGGAGACATGCTGTAGATACAAACCTTGCTTGCTGCTCGTTGTCGCACAACTTCCAAGTACTCTAAAACCACAAGAGAACTCGATAAACAAATTGATATTTAAAGAGAACTAGACTATATATTTTTGTACGAACACTACAAAAATAGTCGTACCTTTATACGCATCAAGCTGGTTGATCAAAAAGTTCTTGTGTTCACAAATAGTCTACAGCAAGAATAAATTAATAACTTATACTGTAGACTTGAATTTTACCTCCTTGTCATGCTACGTCACAAGGAGATCACATGAGATTGCGTAGCATGCCCAGAATTCAGTGCGTGGTTTACCCTTGAATTCGTAGGAGCACAAACAATTTTGTTGCTCAAATTTAGTCAAATATCTTTGAATGTTTAATCATTCTTAAGCAAAAATTTGCATATTATACTGTCTTGACCACTGCCGACCGTTATTGGTATCGTGTTAGTGGAAATAGACCAAAATTGGTCAGAAGAGGCAGAGTTTTTGTGAGCTTTCGAGATTTTGGCGCCAACAATATGGCCCACGAGAGCGGTCACGAGTCTGAGGAAAATTTCGAGCAAAGTCTTGAAGACGAAGTAGCTCGGGCATCAAATGATGAGCCTAATGCCAAAGCTGTTGCTACTGAACTTGGTAATGTATTTGCAGACCAGTTTACAGCACTTGCAGAACATTTACAACAGGGCTTTTCATCCCTTGAAAGGACGATGACACAAGCAATGCGAACAAAGCGCAAGCGTAAGTCATCCTCGTCCAGTGCTGGGTCCGGGTCCTCAAATCACTCTGACCAAGAAGCTATAGCTATAAAAGAGCCTAAACAAGCAAAGAAAAGTACCACAGACGACTTGACTGAGCAGGTTGAGGACCTGCTGAACACTCACGAAGGAAATAAGTCGGACACTTCTAATGCAATCAATACAACGCATGATGAAGTGCTAAACGAAATCGCACAAGAATTGGATTGTGACGAACTGTGCAGTCCACCACTGCTGGACAAGCTAGCAACTGTGGTAAACAAAATGTTGCGAACAAAGTTGAGTGAAGACAAGCTCAAAGAAAAACAAAGGCTGTATACCAGACCACAAAACTGTGACACTCTGGTCACTACTCGAGTTAATGCGGAGATCTGGGCAAAACTGCAAAGTCATACCCGCTCAGTAGACATACGTCTTCAAAAGGTTCAGGCACTGCTCCTAAAGGGAATTGTGCCTATCCTCCAAATCGCCAACACTCAACTGAGTAGTGATGGTGGGGAAAATGAAAACCATAAGGAAATGACCCGACAAGCATTGGATGCAATCTCGCTGCTGTCTCAAGCTAACCAGGAATTGAACCAACGTAGACGAGAACTCATTAAACCTGACCTCAATGAGAAATATCAGCAGATCTGTGCTGAACATGTGCCATGCACAGATCATTTATTTGGAGATGAACTCCATAAAACGTTGCAAGACATTACTGCAACAAATCGAGTTAGTCAGCAAGTATCGGGCCCGCCTCCATTTAAGAAGAATAGCTTTAATCGTCCAAAAAACGAGCGCGGGAGGTGGCAATATCCCCCGCGCCATTTCCAGCGAAAAAGAGGGGGAGGACGAAAGAGGCAAACCCACTAAAAGAGGGTCAACACAATACAGACACAGACAGTCAGGTTAGTGTCAAGTATAATAATGAAAGTAAATATATAAAATCTGACCAGGCTATTTGGCAAGCAGGTCAACTTGCATATCACAAAACTGCATGGAAACAAATCACATCTGATCCATGGATTATTCAGACTATTATGGGTGTGAACATTGAATTCACTAGCACCCCTTTTCAGGCTGTTGTTCCATGTGAAAATACATTCTCCAAAGCTGAATCAGAGGCAATTGACCTGGAGGTGCATAAACTCCTAAAAAAGGGTGTAATTAGCCAGGCCCTACATGAGCCTGGGGAATTCATTTCACGAATCTTTATACGTCCCAAAAAAGATGGGACATATCGATTGATCTTGAACCTTAAGAAACTTAATAATTTTGTAAAATATCACCATTTTAAAATGGAAACTATACATACGGCAACTCAACTTATGAAGAAAAATTGTTGCATGGCATCCATTGACTTACGGGATGCATATTATTCTGTGCCAGTGTGTAAAGATCACCAAAAATATCTAAAATTCTCTTGGAGAAATGTACTGTATAGGTTTACTTGCTTGCCTAATGGCCTGGCCTCTGCCCCAAGGATATTTACCAAGTTACTTAAACCTGTATACGCTACCTTGCGTTCTCAGGGGCATGTATCCTTTGGGTACATAGATGACTCCTACCTACAAGGAGACTCAGTCAAGGAGTGTAAAACAAATATAGATAATACAGTAAAGTTGTTCGAACTCTTAGGGTTTACTACCCATGATGAGAAATCTGTGCTCCTTCCAACTCATCAGCTAACCCTTTTAGGATTCTTATTGAATTCAATAGACATGACCATTTCACTAAGCCCTGAAAGGGTCAAAAAGCTTAAAACGGCTTGTACCAAGCTGATGGGGAAAGAAAACCCAACTATTCAGGATGTTGCCCATGTTGTTGGCCTCATGGTTGCTTCGTTTCCAGGAAACACTTTTGGGCCATTGTTTTATCGGGCACTTGATACCCTAAAAACTGAAGCTCTAAGAACCAACAAAGGTTCTTTTGCAGCAAAGGTTCAAATACCTAGTCATGTCCTGAATGATTTGCAATGGTGGGTAGATAATATTGAGCACATACGTAGACCAATTTCGCATGGTACACCATGCTACATTATGCAAACTGATGCCTCAACTTTGGGTTGGGGTGCCCACCTTCAAGGGAAGCGAACTGGGGGGCAATGGGCTGAGGAAGAAGCCAAAGCTCACATTAACTGCCTTGAGATGAAGGCAGCTCTTTTGGCATTACAATCTTTTTCCACAACCCTGTCAGGAACACATGTGCGGCTAGAACTTGATAATACCACTGCAGTATCATACATCAATTGCATGGGTGGTAGCCGGTCAAAAGAGTGTAATACTCTGGCAAGACAAATATGGTTGTGGTGCATTGAGAATAAGATATGGGTTTCAGCTACCCATATTCCAGGCTCAACAAATGTCGAAGCAGACCATGAGTCACGTGTTTTTCATGACAACACAGAGTGGGCACTCAGACCTACTATGTTTCAGCATCTATGTGAAAAATTTTTTATTCCACAAATTGATCTTTTTGCATCCAGGCTAAATCACAAAGTCCACTCTTATGTTGCCTGGAGGCCAGACCCTCAAGCAGTAGCAATAGATGCTTTCACAATCAGTTGGACTAAATTGTTGTTTTATGCCTTTCCACCATTTAGTTTGATCACACGAGTCCTCCAGAAAATCAGAGAGGACTCAGCAGAGGGGTTTCTTGTGGTTCCTCTTTGGGAAACACAGCCATGGTTTCCTCTGTTAGTAAAGATGTTGGTTGCTCATCCTCTAATACTACCACAGAGCAACAATCTGCTATACTTGCCATACAAAATCGAGAAACTGCATCCCCTACACAAGAGACTTCAACTGGTTGCTTGCCACTTATCAGGAAATCATTACAGAGCCTTGGCTTTTCAGAGCCTGCAACCAACATTATTACCCACTCCTGGCGTGGAGGTACTCAAAAACAGTACAAGACATACCTCCAGCGGTGGATTCAATTCTGTGGTAAACGGAAAGTTAATGCAGTTTCACCAACTGTCAATACCGTTATTGAGTTTTTAACCATGTTATATGATGGTCTACAATATAGTGCACTAAATACAGCACGTTCAGCTATTTCTACGGTGGTTACATTAGCTGCGGAAGTACCGATTGGTAAACATCCGTTGGTCACAAGATTCATGAGAGGGGTGTTCCAGCTACGCCCTGCCTTGCCACGTTATTCAGAGACATGGAATGTTGGTGTTGTTATCAAATATCTGAGTAATATGGAACCAACGGCTGAACTAACAATGGAAAACTTAACAAAGAAACTTACTATGCTCTTAGCTTTGCTTAGTGGTCATAGGACACAGACTCTTACCAAGCTGAACATTGACTTTATGGCACTAACAAGTGAGAAGTGTTCTTTTATCATTCCTGGTCTATTAAAGCATACAAGACCTGGTTCACATCAAAAACCGATAGTGATCAATGCCTATCCAAATGACAAAAGGCTGTGTACTGTGTCTATACTAGGGACATACCTCGAGAAAACCAAATCTATTCGTAACAATGAAACACAGCTTTTACTTAGTTACCGGAAACCATACAAGCGAGTTTCAAGAGACACAATAAGTCGCTGGCTCAAATGTGTAATGCAGAATGCTGGCATTGATACTGGTAAATTTAAATCACACAGTACAAGATCGGCTTCGGTATCTGCGGCAAATCGAGCTGGTATTCCTATGGATACTATTCTATCTGCAGCAGGGTGGTCCAATACCAGAACCTTTGATCAGTTCTATAACAAGAACATAACTGAACAAGGATTATTTGCTAGTGCTGTACTCGATGTTGGTATAGACACTTAATTAATCAGGAGTTTAGAATGTTCATATTTTGTTGACATTTACATAAAGTAAATTGGATTTCCTCAAACTTGTTTGTTGTGGAAAATAATTACGGAGTCCAAAACACTGTACTTTAAAATCTCATGTGATCTCCTTGTGACGTAGCATGACAAGGAGGTAAAATTGGAAAATTAAACGAGACTTACCTGTAAGTTGAAGTTTGATAGAGATTTTACTGACTTGTCATGCAGGAACAAGGTGATCACATCCCACCCAAAACTGTACAGGGCAAACCCTGTTTCACCCATCCCATTGTGTTTTGGATATTTAAATACTGAATTCTGGGCATGCTACGCAATCTCATGTGATCACCTTGTTCCTGCATGACAAGTCAGTAAAATCTCTATCAAACTTCAACTTACAGGTAAGTCTCGTTTAATTTTCCAATTAAAATGAAAGACAAAGTGACGAAAAACACTACGTATTCACTTGATGTGTTGCAGCAAATACATGTACTGTTTTTGTACTGGCAACATTTCCCATCATTTCCACGTTGTCATAAGACTGAAAACCAGGGTATGTAAGCGCCCTGCTGAAAACATGAAAACCGACCACCATGTGTAACACCGCATAAAACACGTGACTGAAACCCACAAATTAACTTCGACTATTATAATACGAGACACAAATATAATCTCACAAATCCAGCCTACATTGCCTACACCTAGGACCTTCAGCGCTTTTTCATGCGAGATGACTGGAACCTAGGCAATTTGGGGGTGGGGCAGAGGAAGGGCGAAGCGAGAAATGTAAGAAATCCCACTTAGTGACGTCATTGAAGTGAATTAACCTGATGAATCAAGTGTCGTCTGCCGAGTAAAGGTCCTGGGTCTAGGCTAACAAAAATCTAATCATCTAAAGCCCTGTTTACACGAGCAAATTTTATTTGACAAATTTCATATGTCAAAGATATTTTGCTCGTGTAGATGATACATTTGTGACAAATTTATTGTGACAAATGCATTTAAACACAAGCTAGCATTCTAGCTTTTGATCAAATGCACTTGTCATATTAAATTTGTCAAATAAAATTTGCTCTTGTAAACGGGGCTTACAGGTATAATCTGCAAAAATATCAAAAACATTTGAACTGGTTTACATCACCAAACAATCTTTCTTGTCCTTCGGTTCTCCAGACGAGCGTGGTGCTGACATTTGCCTCACATTACCTCTTGAGGGTACAACACTTGGTGGTGGTGGGCGGGCGGGGTAAGGAGTGTACTCGGGCGAAGGAACTGGGGCTGGCGCTCTTTCTGAGTAGAGTGGGGGAGCTTTGACAAAATCAGGTGGGCCTGAAGGGGTATTTGGGGGTAATGGTTGTTGTTGCAGTGCAACAGATGCTGTGTTGGGAATTTGGGGTACATATGCTGGCGAAAGTGGATGATTATTAGGGGGTACATATGTAGGTGGGGGTATTTGGGGGTAATTGTGTCGAGGTGTAGCTGTCAATCCATGGTTATCCTCAACGATTTCAAAATCTAGAGAAAAATTATGAAAATCACGTGTTTGCGTTCGTTTTGCATCAGACATTACTGCCACGATCGTAATTGCACATTTTTGGACCAGGAACTGGTCGGGGTCGACGCTATTCGAAAAAAGCCTAAGGCTCCTCCATTTTGGGTGCGATCCTCATGAAATGTGGCACGGTGTCCGATTATTTAATTCTCGATCTCAACGTACAAGCAATTCTTGTCTCTACGCGTCGAATAACAATATGCATATTATTAATATTCCCAGACAATCTCACCACAACAAAGACAGTCATGGACCATTAAATTTTGATTAAGGGGTTGGGGTTTGTTAACGACCTGGTTAGTGACCTGAAACCTCAATTGCCCACAAAAAAATAATTATTCACGCCCTCGAGCATTTTAACTGAACAAATATTAAAAACCACTACGCTCATTACATTAAACTACACGGCGTAATTTGCATGAATAAAGAAGCGAACGGTGCCAATATAAAACACCTCCTCTTCGAGAACCATTTATTGACCCAGCGTTTCGTTCGTCATTTAGATCATTTTAACATATTTAAAAAATGCCTATAGTCGAACCAACATTAAGGGTTTTAAACAATGCAAAAGCTAGAGTTCTAAACCGATGGATCAACGTGCTGAACAATTCGGGAGTCCCAATAGCATGTCAATAGTTAACTCAACAAAGTTACGATGCTACAAAATTTCGCCCAAATTTTGACTTAGAAAATATTAGGCTTACCCAGATTTTATTATAGATTCTACTACGCTTGCCCGTTGCCCGGATTCTTGAAAAGTAAAGTAAAGCTGAGCTTGCCTTAGCAAATTTCGACTAAAATTTGACTTAGAAAATTTCGGGCTGATCAAAAAAAATTTTTCGTCATAGACCGACTCAGAAATGTTCAAAACACATATTGATACAGAAAGTTTTGGCTCAGGAGAATTTTAAAGCACATTTTGACATGACTTTCTGAGTACAACTATAGCCGTATGCAAATTAATCCTTGCCCGTCCTTTAATATAGATTCCACTACGCTTGCCCGTTGCCCGGATTCTTGAGTCAAGTAAAGCTGAGCTTGCCTTAGCAAATTTCGACTAAAATTTGACTTAGAAAATTTCGGGCTGATCGAAAAAATTTTTTCGTCATAGACCGACTCAGAAATGTTCAAAACACATATTGAGACAGAAAGTTTTGGCTCAGGAGAATTTTAAAGCACATTTTGACATGACTTTCTGAGTACAACTAGCCGTATGCAAATTAATCCTTGCCCGTCCTTTAATATAGATTCCACTACGCTTCTACTATATAATCATCAAAGTAACTAAATTGTTCTCTATATGTTTTCATTTTAATACACCCTTTCGGAAATTACGTCACCTTGGCTATAGAGCCTCGTTTTCGTGCGTGTGACATTTGTTAAAGTTCACGTCTCAATCACGGAATCGAGGCTCTATATAGGCAAGGTGACATACTTTCAGGAAGCGTGTATTGGCCCGGCTTTGGTCATGTCAATACAGTTGAAGTTGACCATCACGCATTTGGCACCATATAAAAAGCGCTATAACCATCTATGGCATTACAAATAAATAAATAAATCAAACCTTGTAGCATTGCTTGTGTCTCGTTCACCGGAGTAGCGGCGTACAAAATATCGAGAACGAATGCTGGATAACACTGGTCAACATTTTCAATCACAAAGACAGAAGGATCGTCTTTGCTGTCTACCAAGGAGTCATAGAACTTGCCATCATGACGACGAGGGAATTCTTTTAAACCACGTGTACCTTGGGTAGAGATTCCAAGCAAGACTTGACATACGATGAGAGAGACTTGAGAGCCTGCCAGATGCTCTCTACACCACTGTATACATAACGATGCATTCGATGTGAAGTAATATCCTGGACCGAATGGTTTATCTAAGATTCTGCTAATACTGCTATCATGGATATTTCCTCTCATAGTTCTCTCAATATCTTCAGATAGACATGGTATAAACAGCCTACGATCGTTCAGATTTTCTCCTATTCGAAGCTCATCTGTCATGGATTTCTTTTTGCTGTTGAATAAAAGAAGAAGTCTGAGAACCGTATATAACGGTACAGGGGCAGCTTCACTCTCAGCGTTCCAGAGCAATAGATGGTGCTCAACTTCAAAAATGTTGGCAGTTCCAGCAGCAAGTAAATTAAACTACATCTTTCAATTCCATTCACTTGACATCAAAAACAAGACTACTATACATAGAATGTAATAAATTAACATTATTTTCTGCACGTCCATTTTTAGAAAGGTCCACATCCTGGATTTTTGCTTTGCAACATCAGTCGCAGGCTGTCCAAAATTGCGCCGCGTTAGCGCAAACTTTATTTTACGGTAATCTGATTTGGTTTCCCTAATTACCCTAAAGTACTTAATGTAAGTCCGTAATCTCTTGATTCTATAATTAACAACTGTGTTAACAGTTAATAATATTTAAACGCGTTCTGCGATCTAATTGGGTTACTTTACAATTCATTTGTACTAGTTAAAAAGTTAGCAGCCTATCTTTATCTGATATACGACCCATCTTGTGAGTTCATTGGCGAAGTAATTTTAAAACTAAACATTGTCTAAGCTGAGAAAATCAAAACTGAAGTTTACGTAAATCATGACAAATCTTTTTCCGATTTGCAAACATTGATTAAACATTCATTTCTTTTGAATTTTCTTCATGAATTATTAATGAGTTTTTAAGGTCACATAAAATAATAAATTCTAAGTTCGTGTGACAGTTTTTGTTTTTGTAAACCCAAGTTATCGCAAAGCCGATTTTGCGGTAACCCAATTTGGTTGAATTTCTCCCGCAAGTAATTTTGGACAGCCTGTCGTAAACATCAGCCGTTTGTCAAATTCCCTACCTCTTATACTTATCCCAAAGAGCATCACTAACTATCTTTTCCATCTGGTTTATAACCAGAGCATCTTGGTTAGTAGAACTACCCAGAAGTTTTTCGATCTCCTTGTATTCTAGGGAACCAGGTTCAACTCTCGTGCGATGACAGTTAGAAGGCTGGAGAGGAGCAGTCTCTCTAACTGGCTCTGAAGTGGTTGGAGGAGGTTGAGTTGATACTGGTGAGCTTGGTGTGGATTCAGTCTTTACTTCTGGCGTCTGCTGTTCTTGTCCGCTTCTAACAATGAAATAAACATCAATGAAATAAACATGAATGGAATAAAGATGAATGAAATAAATATGAATGAAATAAACATGAATGAAATAAATACCGGTATGAATGAAACAAACATGAATGGAACAAACATGAATGAAATAAACATGAATGAAATAAATATGAATGAAACAAACATGAATGAAACAAACATGAATGAAACAAACATGAATGGAACAAACATGGCAATGCGTGACTGGACGGCCTAGTGAACTATTGGATGTTCACAACAATGAAAAGATTATTCTTGAGCCGAAAGGGGTGCATTTTTCCGCGCGTAATACTAAAACACTCAAAATTTGCTCATTTTACAGGGTTATATTTTTCGTATATTACAACATTTTGCAACCAAACTTTGCAATTTAACTAATTTTAGGATGCTCTTTTGAGCTATAATGATATATTTCGTCTTTCTTGTCTAGATAAAAAAAATAGTCGATAGCTGGAATTATCCATTGGAATGTTCCGATCACTGGATTGTGACTGAATAACATAGGGAATAGTGGTATCCTGCCTGGCACTCTTTTCATTTTCTTTACCTCTTTTTCTCATTAACTTCACTCTCTGTCAAGAAAGCAGAGGGTCTACGTCGATGAATTGACCAATCAATTGAAAACTTGCCTTCCAAGAACAACTCCTCAAACACACTTGCCTAAAAATGACAATCATATTATTAAATATTGAATTGTTCATCCTGTGTTTATAGCCTGGACAAGCATGACTTACTCTATTGGTTTCAAATTTAATCCATTTTGGTAATTCCAGCTTGTACCACATCCATGGTGTTTCACACCAAGCTTCACTTCCATACTGGGTCGTCTTTTGTCGACACTCCAAACGACGGATTTTAAAATCTTCACCAGCAGAAGGATGGCCTGACATTGACTGGAAGTCTAAACGAACACTGTTGAAAAAAATATAATATTATTACAATTCTGATTGGCTCATAGTAGCAGTAACTCTAGTGGAAGTGTAATCTCTCTAAAGGCCAGTTTCCACTCAGGAAAATTATCCGTGGATTGGAACGGACAAGAAAGTATTTCTTTTTCTTGTGAGCTCTGGGTTGGAACTAATAACTTTGACACAAAGAAAAATTTTCTTGTCCGCTCCAATCCACGGATAATTTTCCTGAGTGGAAACTAGCCTTTAGGCATCTGCCTGTACAGTAAGTATAAATCAGGCCTATATTAATAAAGCATATATTCCTGTGCATACCTTAGTGCTGTGCGCTGGAGTTCCCGGAGCCGGAGTTCTGCCGGAGCTCCGGCGGTTTTTCCGACGCCGGAGCCGAATTTTGTATGCCGGAGCCCGGAGCCGGAGTTACGTTTTCCCAGCTCCGGCAAAATGACAAGAAAACAATATGAAATGAGACAAATGTCAAACGATTGTTAGTTACTGCAAACTGCCAATTGCTGTTAATGAATTCATCATAGACTCAAACTGCCACAGCCCACAGGAACAGCGTCGAAAAGCTGTAATACGATCGCAACTTACAAACGTCATGCTTTCATGAAGCCTGTATTCTGTGTATTCATGCCTTGTTGATAACGAAAAAGTACAAAACAAATAAATATCAACCTTTTGGAAATGACAGAGTACTTTGTTTGCGTGCGAACAATTGCGCTGTGGAGTCTGAGAGTGTTAGCGTCATGCCTCGCGTCATGCCTCGTGTCAAAGATTTTTCGAGGCTTGTTTCCATATAGATATTTTCTGCGTGGTTAAGTGTTTTCACTGTTTTGTTTCCTGAGTTATGTTATCTGATAATTAGGAAGCGCGAAAAGGGTTATTCATAATAATATTGATAAATGTTCTCTGATCGTAAAACATTTATTTAATATTTTATGCTGTGGCCGGAGCCGGAGCTCAGAGCTGTAATTCGGCCGGAGCCGGAGATGAAAAACCGGAGTTTGCACAGCACTAGCATACCTTGACAGTACATCTCCAGGTAGTTTTGTTGAAATATTCAATTCTGCAGCAGTGCAGTTGACATCACAAAAATATTTCTCAATATTCTCACAATCTGTGTTATCAAAACTGCACCATGAACTGCTTGATAGCTTCAACTGCCAGCAATAGGGCAAAGTAAAATGAACACGACTTTGTGAACACTTTTTACGGCGACACTGCTGCATCAGAAACTGAGGACAAATATTTGGAGTGACTTCTTCTATTTCTTGGGCTAATAAATAAATTGTAAAGCAAATTTACACCCTGCAATGAATTAGCACAACCCTGAAAAAGTGGGAGGTTTCTGAATGGGGACCTATCATTGAATTATAAGTAAACTACTTACTTATAAGTTTATCTCCAAAGTGGGGGCTAGGGTAGCTAGGTTTCTAAAGAGGGGGACATACTGTACTTCTGATAGGGACATATTCCCATCAAAGTAAGGAGCTGAGGTTACTGAATGCAGGGAGATCTCAAAAAGAAACGCAGAATTTTGAGGGGGAGCTTTGATAGTGACAGATACAGATAGATAAGAACAAATACAGCTAGATAGGGATAGATAGGAGCATGCACTTGAATACTGCAAAGTGCAACAGAGGTACACTTCTCAAAGGAAGCGTGTACAAATACCTGCAAGACGCAACATCCTGAAAAACTATGTATCCCCAGGATTATAATAAACTGAATATTACCTGGACTATCAACCTTCTGGGTAAAATCAATATCCATCAAACTTCTTGGTTCATCTGACGCTTCTCTCTTGCCCTGCTCCTCCCCAGGTTCCCCACCACTATGTCGTGGGCCACTGCTTCGTCTTCGTACATTCTCCAAAACAAAAATCATCTTCTGAATGTACTTGTAGTTCGGCTTTTTACCAAAAAGCTGATACATTCTGAGGATTTTTGTTGCAGGATCTCGCTTCAAGGCTTCCTCATGGCCATGCTTGCATGGCTTGGCTTTGCAAAATCGACGCCCTTTTGCAAATGCTTTGCAAACATGTAAATTGGGGCAAAATTCACCTCGGTTGCAGCGTCCTTGGTTATGGAAATGACAAACTGTTGGGACTGAAACTCGGATCAGGGTCACTAGCTGTTCTGAGTTAAGGTCTTGGAAGCCCATACGCTTCACAGCTTGGGCAACTGTATCAGAATTAACATCATGATTTAGACGGCAAGCTTTTCCTTTTGGGCAGCGACTTTCGATATGGTTGCGGCATATATGTAAGAAGCCACAATTGGGATTAACACAACCTTGTTTCCCACCATAATCAAGACATATCCGAGACCTTCTTGAAAATGCACTCACAGTATCGATCTTTCCCTGCCCATTTCGATGCAGGATAAATTTCTGTGGGTGCACATTACTTTCAAACCATTTCACAACATCAGTATCACGGCCAAACAACTCTTTATCTTTCGAGATTTTACTAAATGGTGCAATACCATTATATTTCTCCAGGATTGTAATGAAAACCTTTTTCTGCAGGTCGTCTTGCCAAACTGAACTTTGGGAACTAGCTACAGAACTCTGATTGCTGACATGAGAAATCTCAGAACTCGATGTAGAGTCAGACCGCTTGCGTTGGTCAGGATTTCCAAACCCACATTCTGCTTCCTGTTCTGTGGGACATCTCATCCAATTTTCAACTTTCTGGTTACCAACAAGAGATGTTGCTAGGTTACTTTTCTGAATGTTTTCAAAGCTCAACAATGGTCTTGCATCATGACTTGAACTGCCAATTGAAGCACTGTCCACTTCACCAGTAGACGAATCTGTTTCCTCAGAGCTAGCGGCATCTACGCTACTAGATGCTTGTCGACCAAACTTGTTTCTTCTACGGCGTGGGCGTCGACGCTTCTTCTTCTCATTCCCCTGAACATTCTGACGTGGCTGCACATTTGTTGCTTCAACTTCAGCAGTGTGACCAGCTTTGGATTGGCCAAATTTCACCTCAGCAGCTGGAAAACCCAGAAGCCTTGCCATTCCCATCCTAACACTCTGACTGGGCTGTGATTTCATTACTTGGGCATAAGCAATGTTAGCCTTGACAAGTTCAACTGACAATTTCTGAGATGGGAGCAGAGCATACTTCTTCAACAAATTAATATTATGTAAATCACCAACCACATCATGACTTAATGGACAGAAAGGATTTCCACATTGATTTAAGACATAACCACCACAGACATGTAAAAAATGACATTTGTCACCCCTTGGACACACACCATTTTTATTGTAGTCTGCACAAACACGGGGAAAGCAACTTTTCAAGAGCACATTGACAACAACTTTATCAGTTTCTTTGCACAGGGCACTCATCTTATCAACAATAACTTTGTTGTGTGCATCTCGGATATCATGTGACAGCTTGCACTCTTCATTATTATGAGGACATAGGCATACAAAAGCCTTGCATATATGCAGAAACTGACACTTTTTCTTAGGACATTGACCATGTGTAATGTAATGCTGGCAAAAACGTGGCAAAAAACTGAGCTTAACTTTAACTTGCCCCGGTTTGGAGGGATCGTCTGGTTTTGGGACAATGTCAAAAATATTAGCATTAGCGTTCAACCATGCTGACAATGCATGTGGACCATTGCCTATCAGCATGTCTGCTTGCTTAACGAGATTTGCAAATGGGACAGTTCCACCATTTTGAAAAATAAAACTTGTTACTTTACTGATGGCATCGTTAGCACTAGCATTGTTACCACCGACATTGCTAGCACTGGCATTGTCAGTTCCTTTCAAATGAACCCACTTGCCTAACCCTTCCAAATCCATGATCTCAAATTTCAAAGGATAAGCTGCCAAGAAGGATATTAAGGCTTCTTCCTCACATAAGGGATATATTACATCCTTCGCTTTGAGCAGAGATTCAAATGGGATTGTCCCTCCCTCCTTTTTAAGTTTCCCTGAGATTCGTAACGTAATATCATCTGCCATTTTCAAAAGATCAACTGAATCAGTCTCATCTTTTGCTTTCTGAGGCGTTGTCTTGCCACGACTCGCCTTTTTTGGGCCAGTTGCTGGTGGTATTAATGGCCCCCTTTTATCTAAAGTTCTTGCTTCATCCATAACTTCGACTGAAAAAAGCCCCCCATTTTGATCATTAAGCATGTTAAACAAATTTTCATGCTCTGTCAGCCACAACTTGATATACTTCTTATCCTGTAATTTCTCGGGAAATATCAACGCCTTAGAGTTACAAATATTTGAATACAAGTGCCCTTTCTTAGCTTCGTCATCAACAGATTCAATCAATTTTTGTGTAATTTCAATGTCTTCCGCCCAAGTTGTGTCGGGCAAATCATTGCTAGGTGCTTCTACTTTTACTTTTATCTTACCAAAAGGATCACCAGTTTCACCTTTAATGATTTCGAATCTTTCTGGGTGTTGTTTCATCATCGCTTTCAGCCAAGCTTTGAATTTGGTCTTGGACTGACCAGGCGGATAAAAGTCTTTCGTTCCGTCCCAAAACGTTGAAAAGGTCGCTTCATTGTCCGTCTGCTTTTGTAAAAACCTGGAAACCTTTTTAAGAACAGCTTCATCCATTGTAAAATAAGCGAAGAGTTGTAAAAATGTGTTTTTATAGTCAGGCTTTCCCAATTCAGCAAACGACAAACGTGTTGTTAAATACTTTTGTTTATATTTTCTTGGAAAACGAAAACAAAGCTTCCGGGTCCTCGCGCGAGGTGCCTGCGTAGCATTTTAATGTCACGCCTGCCTCGTACCCAGGCGTCTCTTTGTAAAAAAACAGTGATGCGCATATGATGAGTTTACATGAAGTATTGTAGTGGGGAGAGATGGCGAAGTCACGAAATGTTATCAACTATACACTCGACGTTTATTATATTGAGTTAAAAACACCTCTAAATAATTGTCATACCACCATTTATTGTAAGAAATCGACTATAATCGAAGTGCTATATACAAATTATCATATTCTCTTGGCTGTAGTATTTATACACGAGTTCTAAAAATTGCTTCCACATTGCAACAAAACTACATTTCTGAACATGCGCAGAGGACCTTTTTCCTATACAAGAATATGACCTCTTTTTAGTATAAATTGATAATTTTGTCAAACGTAGCTCTTTTACAATTTCTCAAAACCTATTTCGTTGCACGCTAATTAAATTGCTATAAGGTCATATAAAATAAATTCCTTGATTCTCATCACCGCCCGACGATATTTTGGTTTCCGCGTTGATATATTTTTGTATTTTGTTATAAAATATAAATTTACCGCCTGACCGAGCATCTTCAGAGATTTAGTTATTTTTATATTTTATATTGGAATTTTTGCGATATAAAATTGTTTTATCGTTAATATTGCAACATGTTAAGGGATGCTTGGAATAATGAAGGAAAAAATGGGCTTATAGCCTTATTACAACGATTTGTGTGGACCACTGATCTGAAATTTCAGATCAGTGGTGTGGACCCTTATGCATGTTCATTAGCGCATGTGCAATTATCCACTTATATAGCGTTCTTCTATAATATATTTAAGGGCAAATATAAAAAGACCTCCCTCTCCAATTTTCTAAATTTTAAACTTTTTTTTTATATTTTGACATAAAATATAAAATATAAACCTCCCGCGTCCTGGTAGTTTTTAAAATTTAGCGATGAGAATCAGGGAATTTATTTTATATGGCCTAATATTACATTTCCTACATAAACTCTAATCAAACATATTTTCACCCCAGGAAATTGCGAATTTACGTAATTACATAGTGTCTGTCTAAATGATTTGGAGAAAAACGAACTAACTCGCCTCATAGCTAACTCGTTATAAATACTGTATATATAAGTACATTATTTTTCGCGCGATAAAAATTATAACTGAGTCTAAAATCTATACAGTTTGACAAAACTTCTAAATGTAGGTTTTACAAAGTACTATCGTGGAGTAGATGATGGTCAACCTGCAGTTATCAGAGCGAGAAAATAATGTTCATTCTTTTCATTAGATGGAGTAATCTTGTATTTGTTGGCAAATAAATAAAATCGAAAGATGTAGTTTAATTTGCTTTGCTCCTAAAGTTTTTTTTGCTCTTGAGGTCACCACCATCTACGCCGACTAAGCCTAAAAATTCGCCATAAAAATATATCTTTCTGAAACGCCCAACACGCCTTGAATTCTCGCCCTTATATTCGCTCTAATAAAACAGAGTTCTAATAAAACTTAACGCTGTACAATCTTACTACAGGCGTAACTGGGCGGAGGACTGGCGCTAGTGAATGCACATGTGCAACGACGATTCATCTGAACAGCGGTTAACTAATATGGAAATCACCATTCGTTGCTTGAACGAAATTTGAAGGAAAGAATCCAACCTGTAAAAAAAGGATAAAATTTTAGCTAGTGTAAGATCCAGTGCAGCAGGAGGAAACCTAAATTAAACTAGCTTTATGTATACTGGATAGTTCTATCAGTTCTAAACTGTTCTTCCTAGAGGTCCAGTAAGAATCATCTCTTATTGATCCAGTGTTACTACAGGAGGAAACCTAAACTAAACTAACTTTATTTATACTGGATAGCTCTATCAGTTCTAAACTGTTCTTCCTAGAGGTCCAGTATAAGGATCATCTCTTATTGATCCAGTGTTACTACAGAAGGAAACCTAAACCAAACTAACTTTATTTATACTGGATAGCTCTATCAGTTCTAAACTGTTCTTCCTAGAGGTCCAGTAAGGATCATCTCTTATTGATCCAGTGTTACTACAGAAGGAAACCTAAACTAAACTAATTTTATTTATACTGGATAGCTCTATCAGTTCTAAACTGTTCTCCCTAGAGGCCCAGTTGCTCCAGTGTTACTACAGGAGGAAAGCGCAGTACATTGAGAAAATCTGCGGTGTTCATGGGCTAGATACTTGATTCAGATAGGTAGATACAACCTTTACTACAAACACACAAACAAACATACCTGACCCTCTTCATTCTCGCCTTTCCACCATTCCCCATCTTTGTTGATGACTAAAATTCGACTGTTTTTCTAAATAACCACAAGCATCAGATTTAATATCTGCCATGCATTTGGTCACTATACTCAGGTGCCAATTAATTCGCGCAACAATAATAAGGTTATGTATGATAGTATACTAGATAGCTGTCGTCATTTAACTTTTTACATTAAACTCTAACTTACTTTAATTGATATTTCTCTTGGGTCTCTCGCCTCGTAGTCGTATCTCGCCCGGGCATAACAAACAACTACAGAAGAGAACATTAACGTCAGGAAAAAAGCAAGGATGGTTCAGTGTGGTTAGCTGTGTATGTGCCAGCTCTGTGACTAGGTCTCCTGCAATATCTAGTTGTTTCATTATAATTTCATTTCAGTCACATGCGAGAAGAATGTTTCTAGCACGAAATGCTAAAGAGTGCTCGATATAATTTAGATTGAGCAGATATAACGGTTTTCTTCATACAAGAGGATCTGAGCCACCTGATGACTCCTCTTGTATGAAACAGGCTGTTCTGGCAATCTCTCATCAACACATCAATTCTCATCCAGTTTCAGCCGGTTCAAATTTCGATGACAGTTGATGTCAACTCTCATGGAACTCATGTTTTCGCTGGAGCTCTCGATCTCGGCTCGGGACCGCTCTAGGTTTTTTTTATAGTTTTTCTATTATTTAACTTTTCATTATCTTAACTTTAAATAGTTTATTATTATTAACTTTTTCTTTGGGTTAGCAACATGTCTGCTGACCCCAGCTAATAATCCTCAATACTGAGGGGTTTGCTGTAATGATATATAGATATATGAACACGACATGAGAGTTGAGAAACCTCTGGTGTAAACTTTCGCTTGTAACGTGGTGATGTCAATCGTACTAACACTGTGTGATCAGTGAACTCAATGTGTCAAAGTCAAACTAGTTTCCAGGGCTCCCCTTACTTTGTGATGTCGACTCACGTCTTGCTTCGTTAACTCCGCGTGTCAAGCACGTGTCTAACCCAGGAAAACTGACCCCTAGGGTATTATTCCGATAGTAGTCGATCAGAGTCTAAACAATGAAACAAAGTTAGTTCACAGCGAGGAATATTAAAGTTAAGATTAAAGACAGGTTGGGGACAGGAAGGAGGATTTTGTAGATGAAAATTGTGAGTGCAAATGTTTAAACATTTATTTAGATTTAACCAGGAGCAGTTAGGGAATTGGGAAAAGTGTAAGGTCTAGGGTTAAGGTGAGAGTTAAGCCGGTTTTCCACTTCAAGCGTACAGTACCGTACCGAAACGTACTGGTGAGCATGCGTAGATTAGGGATGAGGCGATTAATCGGTAAATAATCGGCAAAGCCGATTAATCGGCCGTTTTTTAAATAATCGGTAATCGGCCGATTATTGCCTGATAATCGGCCATAAGACTTTTTCTGCAGCTGCCAATCACATGCTAAAATACTGAATACAAGCGAATAGATTTTCACATTTTGTTGCAAAACCTGTGTCTTTTGTCTCAAGCGAAGTGAAGCTGGGAACATTTCCACTAAAAAAAACGCAGAAGACTAGCTCCGCATAGCTGACAGTGTCTTGTTTTTACACCATAATCTGCCAAAACTAAACTTTGACTATTGACATGAGAGACTGAAGCTGTTTTTAATTGTACAAAGTGTGTATTGTAAACAATAAAACCACATTTACAACTTCATTGTTGGTCATCTTGTGATTTTTCGCTTGCTTTTTAAACTAATCGGTGGGTACCGATTAATCGGCCGATTAGTTACAATAATCGGCTTATAAATAATCGGCTTCAGTAATCGGCAATTTTCCTTATCGGCTCATCCCTAGCGTAGATTGAAAAGAGATTGATAAATCCGCGTACTTCCGGGTGTATTCGCGTATCAAAATGAAAAGTTCGTCGCAAGTCAACTTTTTGGCGTACTACGGAAGTACTAACCAATCAATATTCACTAAATTTGGAAATTTAAAAACGTTTTTGATACGTTTCGGTACAGTATGCTTGAAGTGGAAAAGTGGCTTTAGGATAATGGTTAAGATTATAGGAATGTAAGGATCGCTTCAGAGTACGAATTTGCTGTATTTAAATTGTGGTAAATGCAAAACTGAATCAACCTCCAGTTGAGGCAACCTCGGGGCTTTGTACCGTAGCGTGTGGGACGAGATTGAGCTTACCGCGACAGAAGGAAAGAGTTTCAGGGCGGTGAGACAAAACATTCCTGTTGACATCACAATCTTGATATGTTTCACGGTGTATTTATGTCTAGAAGGAAAGCGGACATTGACGTTATGTTAAAAATATTGACATGAAATCATTCAACAGGAAGTGCTTCCACTTTTTCTGGTATTTTTCATTCTCGTTCATTATTTCTCACACACTGCTGAGATACTTGCCCACGTAAGCGCAGCCTGACTTTTAATGAATAAAAATCTCGTATTTATAATAAATGCATCCGTATAAATCACTGCATCTCATCAAACTCATACTGGATAAAAATACGAGGACTCAAAATCTATAGTCCAGTCCGAATTGGAGGATTTGAAATGACATCTCATACGAATAAATCAATACTTAAAGAGAGGTGAATTAATTTTGATCCAGTCCTAGGACTGAATTCATTTTGACACAGTCATACGACTGGCTCAATGTACTTCATCAGGTATCCAGTATTATCATGTAAGCAAAATAAAGCAATATGGCTGATTTATCATGAATTATTAATGAGTTTGGGATTGTAATTTACTGTAGTAACGTATACTTTCTTACTTTAAACTCAAGGCATACTGTCCAGGAACAGTCGTACTCTCTCGAACAAGAAACGTTCCATCACTTGTCTTTTCTAAAAGGTCTTTCGCTTCGTCCCTGCCCATCTTGCATACGTACCTGATGAGATATTTACATAATTCGCGTTAGCTTAACTACACTGACTTTATTTAGACAGCTCTTTCAATTCTGAACAGGGAGCTCAGTTTATTCCATGGAGTTCACTGGTTCTAAACTGTTCTTCCTAGAAGTCCAGTAACGTCTGTAAGGGTCAGAAGTGCCTGGACAAGACCTGTGGTGTTTGATAGAGTCAAACTGGAAGCACTCTGGTCACATGTGACTGAGGTGAAATAACAATGAGACAACTAAATATGCAGGAATCAAGGTCTTTTACAATCTTAGAAAAACATTTTTTACAAACCATTTGAATTTCGTCAGGTCAATTTCATCAATGGGAACATTTTCTTCAGTTCTATAAAGATAATTTTCAAAGATTAATGTGTGAATAGTTAGAAAGCAAATGGGAGGAGAGAGCATTTTCTGTACGCTTGGGGAAATATTCTTGGGACTTATTAACCCTGGTTCAACGAGTTGATGAGAGTCCCAGCTTGCCACCACCATCTTTCATTCAACAGTCACCAAAACTTTGAGCTACTTCAAATATTGATGCGACTTCACAAAAGTTTTTGCTGCGCGTGGTAATAGCCCGTCAACTCTCATCAACTCTCGTCTGACCAGAGCTTTATAAACTCACGTTGGTGGAAGATCAGAACTTTTTTCATACTTCGTTAAATCTCTCTAAAAAAGAAAAGACAATAAGCATTTAAAGCGATTTTTTATAACCTCCGAGGACAACCTCCTCTGAGGATAGCTCTGTCATAAAAAGTAACTAAAACCAAGCCTTTATTATCACGAGAAACCTTGCAATAAAACTCTCGTCTTTCATTTCATGTGTCATGTGTTTAAATTTTAAATCCAGTTTTACGTAGTTCACTACGGTGTGAAGTTGATTTTAGGTATTATATTAAGCAAATTATGAGAAAACATTCGCGACATTGTAAACTAAAAATGTTTCAAATTACTGGGAAATACCAGGTTTTATATTAGTTATAAAATCATTTCATTAAATATGTTGATATATAATAGAGGTGCAGGCAGGGTGCAGGCATCAATATATTTAATTAACATAAATTAAGCTATAAATTATTGAAAGCTTTGATATCCAAGGTTTTACTCGATAATTACACAATCATAAACAAAATCTCCAATATTAATACGGCAGTACCAATTATAATCTTTTTAAGTATATAAGGATATATGAATTTATTGATTTCAATTATTTTAAATTAGTTACCGTATGTTTTAGGACTTTTATAACTTACGACAATTTTATGATGACCGCTGATTAACTGACTGTCCTGTGTTGAAGGCTCATGCGAGCCTTCGGTATCACTAATACTGGACAGCGAGATAGTGTGACGTTTCTGATTACGTATAAAGAACACTTCGGAATCCTGAAATAATTTAGCATTATTTATCACTTTAATCTCAACTTAACTAACTTTATTTATACTGGATAGCTCTGTCAGTTTTGAACTGTTCTCCCTAGAGGACCAGTAAGGATCATCTCTTATTGATCCAGTGTTACTACAGGAGGAAACCTAAACTAAACTAACTTTACTTATACTGGATAGCTCTGTCAGTTCTAAACTGTTCTTCCTAGAGGTCCAGTAAAGATCATCTCTTATTGATACAGTGTTACTACAGGAGGAAACCTAAACTAAACTAACTTTATTTATACTGGATAGCTCTATCATTTCTAAACTGTTCTCGCCAGAGGTCGAAGAAGAGTAATTCCCTATTAGTTTCAGTGTTACTGCAGGAGTGACAGAGTCAGACTGGAAGCACTCTTCTCACATTATAAATATTCATAATGAGACAACTGCATATTACAGGAATGGCACCTCAGTCACAGAGATAAATGGTTCATGCCCACATTGGAAATGAAGAAGTACCTGTAATCCTTTTCTGTTACGATCATCGAGAATTTCTACATGATTCCTTGGAAAGTATCCTTGTTTTCCTGATTTCCTTGATTTCCCCTCCCACCACTCCGGGTCACTGCTTGTGATAACATCAATCTCTTCTCCTGCTTCAAACGTCAATCTGTCTTTCTTGCCTGGAGCCCAGCCATGAAACCTAGAGAAACAAAGTCATCAATGACTACAAACAGTTTTAAGCAAAGTGCTTCTTGCTACCAGAGAGTCGCAGTGTTCAATTAAATTTAAAATTGTTTATACCTGGTTATCGCCACTACAGCAGACGGAGTCCCTGTATAGACAACAAATACAAGTTTATTTCTCTATATTACCCTAATTTACGGTTAAATACAGGATGGCCCTGGCTCAATTATATACGGTCTTTACTGGACTTCTAGAAAGAACAGTACAGAGCTATCCAGTATAAATAAAGTTAGTTTAGTTTAGGTTTCCTCCTGTAGTAACACTGGATCAAGAAGAGATGTTCCTTACTGGACCTCTAGGAAGAACAGTTTAGAACTGATAGAGCTATTCAGTATAAATAAAGTTAGTTTAGTCTAGGTTTCCTCCTGTAGTAACACTGGATCATTAAGAGATGATCCTTACTGGAACCCCAAGATGAAAAATTTATAGAACTGGTAGGGCTATCCAGAAAAAATATAGTTAGCTTAAACTTACAAGAAGGGATAACAGGTTCAGATTTATTTCTTAATCTTGGCGGTAATGGCGGGCTGTTGGGAGGTACGGGTTCTGACGTCTGTTTCACCATTGTATTTCTCTTTCCACTTGCAGTCTTTGATGATTTACATACGGGAGATCTCTCTATACAGTCTTTGTGACACACGTGATTACATGCTGGAGAGAAAATATTAATTAATGTACAGTGTAGTATATCATGTATTTGCTGACTGGAATATAAACAATTTAGACCATCTTAAAAAATACCTTTGCATGTATACCCTTGGTTGATCAAACCCCTGAGACAAAAGAACAAACCAAAGTCATTATTGCACGGCGTCATTAACACTAATGGCAGATGAGCGAACTTGGGCAGAGAGAAGATGGTTCGTCTGTTAATTCGTTCGTGAATAATCATGGCAAATCATGGTTCATCCGTGAAGACAAACTATGCGCGTAGTTCATCTTGATGCATGTGTGTATACAGTATGTGTATAAATACAGCATTAGGGTTTTCCTGGGTGCAAACTGGCCTTTTTATATTACTAAAGATCCAATGAAGAATGTGTCATGTTCGTTTATAAGGGCTGCTGTAATTGGCGTAAGCTGTAGCATATACTCTGCCATGATTGATAGGTTGTATATTCTTGTGTTTGTATTTGTATTTGTACAGATTGTGTGAAATTGGCAAAGCACAATAAATAAATAAATAAATAAATACGTAGTTCATTCTTCATTGATTTAGTCTAACGTGTACAAATATTTAACTACTAACCAGAGTAAATTTTTACAAACAGTACAATACGTTGGATGAAAGAAGGTTGTCAATTCTAAACGATGATTTCCTACAAAAACAATGTTATTCAAGTTGATCATAATGCAATCAATGCTTTTCGATTACAATAATTGTTGGTAATCTTGGCGGGACTCACCTAGATTATAATCAGCTAGAGTGAGATTGCTTCTATAAAATGGAAAGAAACACTGTTTTCAGAATTGTCACCTAAAAGTATGTCAAGCAGGACCGCAGAGAGAATTCGCGGGGCCGGGGGCAATTCTTCCCTGGGGACCGCATGACAGCATTATTTTTAAGCTAGACCCAACTAGACCTTAGCTAGACTGCATGTGGAGGTACTGTAAGGGGCCTTCAATTTCGGAAATGCTCTTACCAATTTGAAGAACCTATTCAATTTTAGCCTCTCGCTCTCAAGTCGGGGCCCTATTAAGGTGGGGTGATCGCTAGATAGTATACTTCAAAATAACGTTTCCATTTTTATAACGTAGAAAAAACTATCCTAACGCAAAACTAAACACTGACCCTAATACTAACCCTCACTCTAACCCTAACCTAAACCCTAACCTAACCATAACTTATTTTAAACTAGGGATCCAAGGATAGTGTGAAGTTTCAAATTTAAAAAGACACTGCGAGAACTATATAGGGTCGCCGACAACCTAGAAAAGCTTGATGGCTTACACTACGAAATAAACAGTTACCAAAGGCATTTCATCTCATTATTTATTGCTTTTAATACGCTCGGCACACGAGTAGGGTGACGTTTGAAACAAGCCTAACACATCAGAAACGTGCCTTGTGAAACTGATGCAATTCATCTATTTATTGTGTCACCAACAACCAAATTTTGCTTATTCTAAATTTTCATTTGCATTTGCAGCTGTCGCTGAAAGCATCCCCACGAGACTACTGCTATGCTAAATTTATCTAATAAACTATAATTGAAATAGTTGGATAAGATATGTTATGAATAATAAGCACTACGTCGTTACATCATTAAGAGACGCATTTTATCCTCATCCGTTCCGTATTTTATCCGCATATCCGTTCCGTGGATCCGCTCTATCCGCTTCCGCATTTTAACTTAATTGTGACATGTTTCACAATAACAAGTTTCATTGACCTTTGACTTTTCCCAGTGTGACGCGTGTCTATTTTCAGCTTTTCGCATGTGTTGAATTTATGCCTTTAATATTGATCTGATACAAATCTGATGCAATTTTTCGCTCTTTGTACTGAGTATAGCCATCTATTCTGTGATGTAGCACCTTATACAGTCAATGAGAATGTATAATGAATACACGGTCTAAATAATATCGACGGTAATGCATAACATCAATTTTTAATATATATATTGTATTACTATTATTCCGTAGAATCTCAAAGATTTTCTCAATATTCATGTCTGAAATGTTTATATACTTGAAAACAACACTGTCTCGGCAGTCTCGCTTCTGCCTGCACGTACTACAGACAATGACCTCTGTATAATGAGTATGCCGTGAAAAAATAATATCGGCACTCAATTGAATGCCTAGAAGCAAGATTTTCGACTCAATATTTACGTCTGAAATGTTTATACACTTAACTGCACTGTCTAGGCGGCAGTCTAGCTCCTTCCTAGCTCTGTATAACAAATATACCGTCGAAATATTATCGGCACTTATTAAATTGAACGCCCGTAATGCATAAGATCAATTTATATATTGTGTAGATTTTCAAAGATGTGCTCAATATTCACGTCTGAAATCTTTATATACTTGAAAACAACACTGTCTCGCTTCTGCCTACGTACTGTACCTCTGTATAATGAGAATACCGTGAAAATAATATCGGCACTCAAATGAATGCCTAAGAATCAAGATATTCAACTCAATATTTACGTCTGAAATGTTTACACACTTGACTGCACTGTCTAGGCGGTCTAGCTCCTTCATAGCTCTGTATAATGAACATACCGTCTAAATATTATCGGCACTTAATTGAACGCCCGTAATGCATAAAATCAATTTATATATTGCGTAGATTTTCAAAGATTTAGACAATATTCACGTCTGAAGTCTTTATACATCTGAAAACAACACTGTCACCCCTTCCTAGCATATCGTCACGCCATCGTGATCTACGGCTTGATAGCGCATGCGCATTTGCGCTACTAAAGAAAAAATCGGGTGTTCCGGGGTAAAGATCCTTTACACAACATGAGAAGCGAATGTTCTAAAATTTACAAAAAATTACAATAACGAAAGCGATTCCTCGAAATTTTTGTGAACTTGGCAAAAAGATAACAGAATATGTAAATAAGTTAACTGAAATTGCCTCAATAACCTTCAAAGTACTGACTAAGTACAATAAATCACTACGAACATAAATCGTATACACCCCCCGGAAAGTTTACTCTATGACTGACTGACTGACTGACTGTTTGACTGACTGACTGATTCGTGTGAATTCGCCAGCCATCACAATAGTGTGAAGTGAAACTTCACACTAAAAACGACTGATAAATAATCATTCATTTTATGATTAATATTTTATTGCGAGCACAACTGCTCCAGAATCACAACAAATAACAGAATATAAGGAAAATTAAAACCAGCAAAGCTTTATCTACCTTGATCTATTTTTAAAGGCGCTCAATTATGTAAATTTTCCGCGAACACTCAAACATTTTTCTTTGCCTTTCCTCGAGCATGAGTGATGAAATGCTCGTCGGAAAAACTCGGTATTTGTCGTATTTTACGAATTTGCCACGTGACCGGTACGCTCACTAATGAAAGTTGCATGCCATTTATGGCATGCAACAAAAAATTAGTTAGGCCAGCAATTTGGCCCGCGGCCCGCAATTGTTTTGACCCGCAGCCCGCAAAAACTGACCCGCAGCCCGCGGCCCGCAAAATAGCTGGACCCCAATGCGGTTTATAAACGGCAATTTTGACTCGTAAAAATATCGTAAATATCCGCTCATAAAGGCGCATGCGCTAACATGTAGTGGAAGAGGGTAAACGCCAACTGTGTATAAAATACTGCAACAAATTATGTACTATAATAGTTTTGTTTGTGGAAACACCACATAAATTTATTACTGCAAAAAAAACTAAACTAACTTTTATTACTCCACAAAACTATTATATATGTTTTATCGCCATGCAAACATACAAAGAACTTAAATTCTGTACTGTTTAATAACCGAGCAGGAGTTTTTTATCAGGTATAAAGACACGAGCGCGCAGCGCGAGTGACTTTAGACCTAATAAAATACGACCTGCGAGTTTATTAAACGGCTTCAAACACGACTACAAATTCAATAGATATACTGCCTTATAATTATTATTTATATAAAGAATACTAATGAGGACACGACTACAATAGATACTGCCTTATTAGTATTCTTTATATAAAGAATATAGTTTTACAGGCAATTCTGATTGGTGGGAAAATGTTATTTCGACCAGTCTGCATTTAACCCATTAAGTTGCATTGTGCCTAATGCACACTATTTAATTTTAATTGCTGTGCCCAAGGTAAATCAGAACCTATATGCATCTAGTTAACCGATTAAAGTTGCAACGTGTCTATACTTTATTAATTTACTCTGCCTATTGCCAGATGATTTTACTTGTCAAGGGGAGGGCAATGGCATTCAACGGGTTTAAATCTGATCATATTTGGTCATGTTTGATCGCAAAGGCACAAAAAAGTATGATTTGACAACTAATTTGGCCTGATCTTGATTGGTAAAGAAAAAGTATCTATAACCCAATACTTAATACACAATAACATGCCAAACAGAGATTTGCTTTAGGTGGCCCTTGACCTGTAGGCCGATCGTCTACAACTAATGGCCTGATTTTTTTATTGGTGTAGAAAAAATATCTACATAACTAATACCTAACACACAATACCATGCCAAACAGAGATTACCTTTTGTTGAGACACTCTGTATAACATTACCTTAGTCAAGAATTCCCTCTTATAGGTGGTTAAAACCAGAGATTTGTCCTGTTCTAAGACTTCTCAGACAATCTTAAGCATTATTTATTTTGAATAAACATTTAACAGTATGTCTAAGTGTCAAACTTACACATATTTTCTTGTGGGAGATAAAACTTCAGCAATTGCTCCGTACCTGGCTTTATTCATGGCAGGCAGATACTCCCATGTAGAACCTCCTATTGTAAAACATTGCACTGAATTGAGATCTCTCTCATTCTGACCTCCCATCACTACAATGGTATTTCCAGTAATAACTGCACAACATCCAAATCTCTTCTCCAACATGGATGGTAAAGCTGTGATCTTGCTCGTCTTGCAGTCATACATGAAAACATCATTCAGAGCTTGACGATGCTTACCACGTCCTCCAAGCACAACTACTTGATCTCTCCAGCGAACAGTTGCCATTCTCGTCACGGGATGTGGTAATGGTGGCATCTCCTTACATTCATTCTTCTTTACATCAAACTCCAACACACTATTTAAAGGACGACTGTTACGATCTTCCCCTCCCAAAATCATGACTTTATCTTCAAACGTCTCAGCACCATGACGAGATCGTGAATCAGGCATTTGACACAACTTTTTCATACTGACAGGTGAGGTAAGTTGCAATTCACTGATCATGTCAGACCATCTTGGATCATAATTATATCCACCAATGTGAATGATACGCTGTTGGTAAGCAACGGTTTGATGATCATCACCCCGATAAGGAAGTTTTCCAGGATATTTCATCCATTTCAAAAGCAATTCATTGAGATCCAATGTCTCTATTGTCTTAGTACCCGCTCCCCCAACAACAAATAACCGATAATTATAAATAAATGATGAAGCTCCACAATGTCCTTTATTCATTGTTGACACCTCAAACCAACCATTCTTCTCCCAGGAATATATTTCAGTACTGTTATTCGAAAGTGCTCGACCACCTGCAATCAAAATGTCTTCTCTTGGTGTCTTCAACATTCCCTCAGTCGGAGATGGCAGTTTGTTAAGCTGTTCAAGCATATTTAACTTCTCTAACACTTTACTCGTAATCACTTGGACTTTGTCCACGTGCTTGTTCACTTTTGAAATATTTTCTTTTACATCTCTTACTTCTTTCTTAATTTCCCGTTGGTCTTGCCTTGTTTGACCTTGGCTGTTCTTCACTGCTTCCACTTTCCCATCCAATTCCTTTAAACTTGCTTCCAATGTTCCCACAGTTTTCTTCATCTCTTTATGTGCTGCTTCCACTTTCCCATTCAGTTCCTTTAAACTTCTTTTCACTGTTCCCAGATCTTCCTGTATCTGTCCACAGTCATGACACTTCACTTTCCGGTACTGAGAAATTTCAGTCTCATGATAAACTCTTTCTCGTTTGTTGATGACCATACCACACTCTGGATTTGAACACAACACAGGAGCATAGTCACAACTTGCCACATGAGTTTCGAGATTTTCAAGACAGGTCAACTCAGCACATCCTCGACTGACATGATCACAATTTATCTTGAGCTTAGACAAATAATTACTCGCTAAACGTGCTCTACGAAGCGTATCTACGCTCAAATGCTCGCTGCATTCAGGACAAGTTTGAGAGTTCACACGTAGGTGTTCACTGATACAGGCAAGACAAAAGATGTGTTCGTTATTTCTGCACATCCTTGGGTCTTTGAGAACATTGCGACAAATAGAACAGTGAAAATTTTCGTCGACATCTTTCTCAAACCGAGAGTCTTCGTAGCCATATATTTTCTCTTCCGTCGGGCAAAAAGCCATTCTTTACCGCCCACAAAACATTGCTACCCCATTGTAAGAACAGAATACGAATGGTCTTTCTTTGTAAGATTTATCTTAAACTTTATAGGAAATAAATCGACGACAAGAAATAAGCGAGGTTTTATTGAAACACTTCCGCCTTGGCTTTGGTTTTGCAACAACGAACTAATTACAGTCCAAAAATGCGTGGTATTTGTCTCTTTTATGTAGTCACCACAGAGGCAGTCACCTAGCTTGCATAGAAAAGATTTGAAAGCTCGCGCGTGAAAATCTACGCGCAAGCGCCATGGGAAAGGTTTTCACGCGCGAGCTTTCAAAACTTTTCCAAGCTAGGTGACTTCATAAAAGAGTTAAATACCGCGCATTTTTGGCCTGCCTATGAAAATATGTGGAAATGCGAAATCATATGATCAAAAGCCATGACGTCAATTTCGTCACAGAACAACTCTGCAAGCTGCTCCATTTACTGTTCGGAGTACTCCGGATTTTCGGAACTGTTCTGACTACCCCGATTTTCGAGTAGGGGCAGCCAAACAGACACGTGACACTGCCTATTTTTACGTGATTGAAAAGGAAGGCGACAGTTTTTGTGTATCCTATGCACACTGCATAGAGCGTTATTTTGAAGGGTTAACTGCTATATATCGACATATACGTATTATATGCTATTTAAGCGCCAGGGTTGAGCAAAATCAACGACTAAAAAGGTTGCAAAAGCATACTTAGATATACAAATAACAGCAAATCATTATAAGATTTATTATGCGAATAACTAATGAATATAGTAATGCATGGGTGCACGCATACATAATACACTAAACACTGTTCCAGAACACCGTGTGCACTCATTTCATATCGTTCCAGAACAGTGTTCCAAATGTTCTAGAACAGTGAATGGAGCAGCCTGCTGCATGCTTGTGTTATTTCCTATCGAAGATATTAGCTCAGTTAAAATAAAGTGTATGTATGTATGTATATGTATGTATGCAATATGAGGCATATTAATAGACCTTTCCGGTAATTACGTCACAACTACACTGTTTTCAACTTAGGACCACCTTAAATGAAATATATTTGAAGTTTGTTTCTCACGGGCTGTGGTCAGAGAAGCAGAACATCCTTCGTCCACACATGCATAAAAAAGAATTTTGGATTTTGACTACAGTCGAACCCCTATTAAGCGGACACCTTCGGGACCTCGCCTAAGTGTCCGCTTAAAAGGGGTGTCCGCTTAAAAGGGGTATGTAGGAAAACACAGCAGGAGGCAAAGGTGTGTAATTAGGTGTGTAATTAGAGTATCAAAACAGTAAAAAATATCTAGGAAATAATTAGCATAAAATGAAAATTTATTTGTGCATAAAAGTTCATTAGAAAATGTATACGTCTCTCACAGTCATATAAAAAAGGAATCAATACAAATTTGCTGCCGAGGCTCACGCAGACGATAGCCCATTATAATGTCATTTACATAAAAATGGCGTTGGAAAGTTCTTCCAAACCTCGAAATTGTGCGAGTTCTCCAAATTGGTGTGTCACTGTCAATGTGCCATGTAAATTGATCTCAGTTGTTATTTACTGTCGAATATTGAATACATTTTATCAGATAATCTGTCATCTGTCCGCTTAAGAGAGGTTGGTTTGCCCATTGGGACCTCAAGTAAGGTGTCCGCGTCCGTTGAAGAGGAGTGTCCGCTTAATAGGGGTTATGATAATAGTATTTTATTAAAGAAAACGAATGGGACCTGAGATATGTGTCCGCTTAAAAGAGGTGTCCGCTTAAGAGAGGTGTCCGCTTATAGGGGTTCGACTGTATTAAATGTGGAAGTAAGCTTAAACACGAAAACGAGTGAAGGATGTTCTACTCCTCTGACCATAGTCCGTGAGAAACAAACTTAAATCCATTCCATTTAAGGTGGTTCTAAATTGAATATAGTTTTAGTCGTGACGTAATTACCGGAAAGGTTTATATCCATCTGCTGGTACTGCAACGATTACTGCCGCGTACTTAAGCTGGCACAAATTTAAGACTCAGTTTGTACTAAGTCTTCAAAATAAAGTACATAAAGTATAGTTTTGAACAGATAATAAATCATTCAGTGACCTGAAACTACGAGTTAGAACAAGAAGCACATTTGTATATACAAACACGACTGAAACATTCCTTAATTCCACCAGTCCAATCATGTTTCTATCAGACTTACACATATGTCTACTCAAGTATGCTTTTGAATGTATTGGGCATGGAAATTTCATGTGATTTTCCAACAAATTATAAGCACGTACTGTAGGTACACAAACTCTCGCTATCTGCGTGCTACTTGATTGAAAACGAAAAATTACCAGACCGTAGTATTGGCGTAGCCAGCGCGACAATTTAGGGACCGGCCATTAATGGGGGCGGGGGAGCGGTGGATAATAAATACCAAATATTGAACATCTTTTAGAGCCGCCTCCAATCGCAAGGCCTTTATTTTCAAGATGCCCACACCTTCACCTAAAAAACTTAGGGCCCCCCTCCAACATTTAATTCGTTACATTCTAGTGTAAAATAAGTAATGAGACAAGTACTGGGGACCAGTGTTCAAAATGGTTGTTATTTACTCCACTCCTATGGTGAACTGCATATACGTAAAACGTGGAAACTACGATTATAGAAACTAAAAAAGGTTTAAATGTTTTGAAAATGAGTAGGAAAATATTAAAAAATTGGGGTCGCCCCTTGTCACATATTTTTCAGTTTGAGGTCGCCCCCAATTCAAGCAAAAATAGTTGATGACCGGTACTGCTATGCACATTCAAAAATATTATCATTATTCATTTCTTTAGAAATTGATTGATTTTAAAGTCAATGAACACATTATGTACTAGTTAAAACATGAGCAGCCGATCTTTATATGATATATCTGACCCATCATACGAGTTCATTGGCGAAGTAATTTTAGAAATAAACATTGTCTAAGCCGGGAAAATCATCGCTGAAGTTCATGTAAATGAGGACAAATCTTTATCCGATTTACAAACATTGATTAAACATTCATTTCTTTTGAATTGTCTTCATTAATTATTAATGAGTACTTTAATTTTTAATATTAACCTATACATTCGTTCGTACAGAATATGCAAAAGACTACAACAAATTATAATTTTCATATAATTCCATATTATGTTCTAACTTCTAATACCCTATACAATAGTCAATACTTGGATCGACAATTTATCTAAAAACCTGAAATATTTCGGGGACAGGTTGTATAAAACGCTTAACTATTTTTAATTAACCACTATTTTGTAGTTTAATAGTAATTCATTCTAAAATACTCGATTAACCCTTCACACAAACTGTAGTTAAATTCAACTACCTTTCTATACAACTAGCACCAGGATTCATGAATTGAATTGAACTGTGTCCATTTCAGTCATTATTACACTATGTCTTGCATTTTAAAAAACGTAACCTATCAATATCGAAATAAGAATAATTTGGATACACAAACAATAGTTTCACAGGCAATTCCGAATTGTCGAAAAATGTTATTTTGACCAGTCATTTACGTAACCCATTACAGTCAAACCGGATGTTCTCTTTGAAGCGACATTGGAATATTGTCCCACAATATTGCAATTTTGATAGGCTGATTGCTTTGCCTTTGAGCAATTTGGAAGCGACGTGAACAAATTGCAAGTTCAAATTCACAAAAGATTTGAATTTGTTCACGTTGCTTGTAAATTGCTCAGAGCAATCTGCCTGTCAAAATTGCAGTATTGTTGGACAATATTGCAATGTTGCTGGCAAGAAAACACTCCGGTAATTACGTCACGACTGACACTGTTTTCAACTTAGGCCACCTTAAATGGAATGGATTTTAAGTTTGTTTCTCACGTGCTATGATTAGAGGAGCAGAACATCCTTCGTCAACACATGCATAAAAAAGAATTTTGGATTTTGACCAATAAATGTGGAAATAAGCTTAAACACGAAAACGAGGCTGATGGGTCAAGAAGGGCCATGGCCCCTCAGCCTCGTTTTCGTGTTGAAGCTTATTTCCACATACCCTGCGAGCAAAGTCCTCTCGTATTTTTTCTCGGCACAGCACGGAGAAGCGAGAGAGACTCTGCAGAACTTGTGTTTATTCTTTGTGGAGCCGACAATCCAAAAACTTGGATAATTATGCGTAATTTCAGGTTTGATACTGGTTTTGATCTGAACCGGAAATTACTTATTAAATCTTCTTCTGGGAAATAGACAGTTGCACAGCAACCTTCGCGCATGCTCAACTGAATTTATACACAAGTTCTGCAGAGTCTCTCTCGCTTCTCCGTGCAGTGCCGAGAAGAAATACGAGAGGACTTTGCTCGCAGGATAATTTCCACATTAATTGGTCAAAATCCAAAATTCTTTTTTATGCATGTGTTGACGAAGGATGTTCTGCTTCTCTGATCACAGCCCGCGAGAAACAAACTTCAAATTATTCAATTTAAGGTGGTCCTAAGTCGTGACGTACTGGAAAGATCTATTGCGCTGCTCATATGCATATGTAACTGATTTTAAGGGACCGGTCATTATTTACGTTGGGGGGTGGCACCGAAGAGAAATGTTTTTCGTGGCAAAAATTTTGCTGAACTAACCATTAAAATATCAAAAATTTGATTACCCAACCTCAAATATCAATTTAAAAATAAATACCCACCCCTGGCCAAAAAACTTTACAAAAGGATACCATTCAGTTGTCACACATGTCCTTTACCACTTCTGTGAAATGAGTTTGCTAACGGCTTGTGAAATTCTCCGCAGCCTAACGTTTCATAATGTTCGCACATCGGAAAATGGTCAAGATAGTGACTCTGATTGATTCACATATTGGATTTACATATGGCTGTTGACATTGCTTTTTAGTCTTCAATATTTGAGTGAGTCATGCTTTGGAAATGACTGTAAATTTTTATTACCCAACCCTTGAGTTGTTTTGTTTTTCATTTACCCAACCTTTTACTCATTCAAAATTTTGTTTACCCAACCCTTTTCTCTTCGATGCGACCCCCCCCCCCATAAATAATGACCGCTCTCTAAAGTTGCAATGTGGGCTACTTTATTATTTACTCTGCCTGATGCAACATGATTTTATTTGTCAAAGGGAAAGCGCTGGTACTCAGTGGGTTAAATCTGATCATATTTGGCCATGTTTGATCACAATGGCACAAAAAAGTACGACTTGACAACTAAATGTTCTCTTTCAAGCGACATTGGAAAATGGTCCCACAATATTGCAATTTTAATAGGCCGATTGTCTGTGTAATACCTAATACACAATTACACGCCAAAACAGAGATTGCCTTTTGTTGAAACACTCTGCATAACATTACCTTCAGTCAAAAATTCCTTCTTAGCTGGTTAAAACCAGAGAATTTGACCTGTTCTAAGACAGTCTTATGCATTATTTTGAATAAACATTTATCAGCGTGTCTAAATGTCAAACTAACACATATTTTCTTTTCGTGGGAGGTAAAACTTCAGCAACTGCTCCGTACCTGGCTTTATTCATGGCAGGAAGATATTCCCATGTAGAACCTCCCATTGTGAAACACTCCACTGAACTGAGATCTCCATTCTTCTCATTCTCACCTCCCACCACTACAATGGTATTTCCAGTAATAACTGCACAACATTTAACTCTCTTCTCCAACATGGATGGCAAGGCTGTGGTCTTGCCTGTCTTGCAGTCATACATGAAAACATCATTCAGAGCTTGACGATTCTCATCACGCCCTCCAAGCACAACTACTTGATCTCTCCAGCGAACAGTTGCCATTCTCGTCACGGGATGTGGTAATGGTGGCATCTCCTTACATTCACTCTTCTTTACATCAAACTCCAGCACACTATTTAAAGGACGACTGTTATGATCTTCCCCTCCCAAAATCATGACTTTATCTTCAAAAGTCTCAGCACCATGACGAGATCGTGGATCAGGCATTTGGCACAACTTTTTCATAGTAACAGGTGAGGTAAGTTGCAATTCACTGATCATGTCAGACAGTCTTCTTTGGTCATAATTATATCCACCAATGTGAATGATGCGCTGTTGGTAAGCAACGGTTTGATGATCATCACCCCGATAAGGAAGTTTTCCAGGATATTTCATCCATTTCAAAAGCAATTCATTGAGATCCAAGGTCTCTATTGTCTTAGTACCCGCTCCCCCAACCACAAATAACTGATCGTTATAAATAAATGATGAAGCTCCAGAATGCCCTTTATTCATTGACACCTCAAACCAACCATTCTTCTCCCAGGAATATATTTCAGTACTGTTATTCGAAAGTGCTCGACCACCTGCAATCAAAATGTCTTCCCTTGGTGTCTTGAACATTCCCTCAGTCAAAGATGGCAGTTTGTTAAGCAGTTCAAGCATATTTAACTTCTCTAACACTTGACTCGTAATCACTTTGACTTTGTCCACGTCTTTGTTCACTTTTGAAACAGTTTCTTTTACATCTTTTACTCCTTTCTTAATGTCTTCGACTTCTTTCTTAACTTTTTGTTGCTCTTGTTTCATTTGATCTTGGCTGTTCTTCACTGCTTCCACTTTCCCATCCAGTTCCTTTAAACTTCCATCCAATTTCCCTACAGTCTTTTTCATCTCTTTATTTGTTGCTTCCACTTTCCCATCCAGTTCACTTAAACTTCCTTTCAATTCTCCCACTGTTTTCTTCATCTCTTTATTTGCTGCTTCCACTTTCCCATCCAGTTCCCTTAAACTTCCATCCAATTTCGCCGAAGTTTTCTTCATCTCTTTATTTGCTACTTCCACTTTCCCATCCAGTTCACTTAAACTTCCTTTCAATTCTCCCACAGTTTTCTTCATCTCTTTATTTGCTGCTTCCACTTTCCCATCCAGTTCACTTAAACTTCCTGTCAATTCTCCCACACTTTTCTTCATCTCTTTATTTGCTGCTTCCACTTTCCCATCCAGTTCCATTAGACTTCCTTTCAATGTTCCCACATCTTCTTGTATCTGTCGACAGTCATGACACTTCATTTTCCGGTATTGACAAATTTCAGTCTCATGATGGACTCTTTCTCGCTTGTTGATGACCATACCACACTCTGCATTTGAACATAACACAGGAGCATAGCCACAATTTGCCACATGAGTTTCGAGATCTTCAAGACAGGTCAACTCAACACAACCACGACTGGCATGATCACAATTTATCTTGAGCTTAGACAAACAATTACTCGCTAAACGTGCCCTACGAAGCGTATCTACGCTCAAATCCTCCTTACATTCAGGACACGTTTGAGAGTTTACACGTAGGTGTTCACTGATACAGCCAAGACAAAAGATGTGTTCGTTATTTCTGCACGTCCTTGGTTCTTTGAGAACATTGCGACAGATAGAACAGTGAAAATTTACGTCGACAACTTTCTCAAAACGAGAGTCTTCGTAGCCATACATTTTCTCTTCCGTCGGGCAAAAAGCCATTCTTTACCGCCCACAAAACATTGCTACCCCATTGTAAGAACAGAATACGAATGGTCTTTCTTTGTAAGATTTATCTTGAACTTTACAGGAAATAAATCGACGACAAGAAATAAGCGAGGTTTTGTTGAAACACTTCCGCCTTGGCTTTAGTTTTGCAATAACAAACTAATTATAGTCCAAAAATGCGTAGTATTTGTCTCTTTTATGTAGTCACCATGGGTAGTCACCACAGAGGTAGTCACCTAGCTTGCATAGAAAAGATTTGAAAGCTCACGCGCGAGCTTTCAAAATTTTTCCAAGCTAGGTGACTTCATAAAAGAGACAAATACCGCGCATTTTTGGCCTGTCTATGAAAATACTTGGAAATACGAAGTCATATGATCAAAAGTCATGACGTCAATTTCGTCACAGAACAAGTCTGCAAGTTGCTCCATTTACTGTTCGGAGTATTCCAGTTTTCGGAACACTAACGGAATCGAACAGAAGACAGTTACATGACTGTTCTGAACTGTTCCAAAACAGACACGTGACATGCCTATTTTCACGTGATTGGAAATGGAGGCGACAGTTTTTGTGTATCCAATGCACACTGCATAGAAATGCATAGGGCGTTATTTTGAAGGTTTAACCGCTATATATCGACATATACTTATTATATGCTATTTGAACGCCAGGGTTGAGCAAAATCAACGACTAAAAAGGTTGCAAAAGCATACTTAGATATACAAATAACAGCAAATCATTATACGCTTTATTATGCGAATAACTAATAAATATAGTAATGCATGGTTGTACGCATATATAATAAACTAAACACTGTTCCAGAACACCGTGTGCACTCCATTTCATATCGTTCCAGAACAGTGTTCCAAATGTTCTAGAACAGTAAATGGAACAGCCTGCTGCATGCTTGTGTTATTTCCTATATGCAATATGAGGCATATTAATAGACCTTTCCGGTAATTACGTCACAACTACACTGTTTTCAACTTAGGACCACCTTAAATGAAATATAGTTCAAGTTTGTTTCTCACGGGCTGTGGTCAGAGAAGCAGAACATCCTTCGTCAAACATGCATAAAAAAGAATTTTGGATTTTGACTATTAAATGTGGAAATAAACTTACTGCAACGATTACTGCTGCGTACTTAAGCTGGCACAAATTTAAGACTCTGGTTGTACTAAGTCTTCAAAATAAAGTACAGAAAGTATAGTTTTGAACAGATAATCATTCAGTAATCTGGAACTACGAGTTAGAACAAGAAGCACAATTACATAGACAAACACGACTGAAACATTCCTTAGTTCCACCAGTCGAATCATGTTTCTATCAGACTTACACATATGCCTACTTATGTATGCTTTTGAATGTATTGGGCATGGAAATTTCACGTGATTTTCCAACAAATTATAACCACGTAGGTACACAAACTCTCGCTATCTGCCTGCTGCTTGATTGACTGGTCATTAATAATGGCCCTCCTGCGATAGGGGGCGGGGGGAGGGGGCGGGGGTTGATAAATACCAAATATTGAACATTTCTTAGAGCCGCCCCCTATCGCAAGACCTATATTTCCAAGATGCCCAGTGCCCACACCTTCATCCAAAAAACGTAAGACCCCCACACCCCCCTCCAACATTTAATTCGTTCCATTTTTTGAAGTAAAATACTAGTAATGGGACAAATACTGGGGACCAGTATTCAAAATGGTGGTTATTTACTCTGCTCCTATGGTGAACTGCATATATGTAAAACGTGGAAACTACGATTATAGGAACTAAAAAGGGTTTAAATGTTTTGAAAATGAGTAGGAAAGTATTAAAAAATTGGGGTCGCCCCTTGTCACATATTTTTCAGTTTGAGGTCGCCCCCAATTCAGGCAAAAATAGTTGAAGCCGCACCCCCTTTTTTACCCACCGCTTCCCCCCCCTCCCATTATTAATGACCGGTCCCTTAGTCCTGCTATGCACATGCAAAAATATTATCATTATTCATTTCTTCAAAAATTTATTGATTTTAAAGTCAATGAACACATTATGTACTAGTTAAAACATGAGCAGCCCATCTTTATCTGATAAATCCGCCCATCATACGAGTTAATTGGCGAAGTAATTTTAAAAATAAACATTGTCTAAGCCGAGAAAATCATCGCTGAAGGTTCATGTAAATGAGGACAAATCTTTATCCGATTTACAAACATTGATTAAACATTCATTTCTTTTGAATTGTCTTCATTAATTATTAATGAGTACTTTAATTTTTAATATTAACCTATACATTCTTTCGTAAAGAATATGCAAAAGACTACAACAAATTATAATTTTCATTTTATTACATATTATGTTCTAACTTCTAATACCTTATACAATAGTCAATACTTGGATCGACAATTTATCTAAAAACCTGAAATATTTCAGGGACAGGTTGTAATTCATTCTAAAATACTCGATTAACCCTTCACACAAACTGTAGTTAACTTCAACTACCTTTCTATACAACTAGCACCAGGATTCATGAATTGAATTGAACTGTGTCCATTTCAGTCATTATTACACTATGTCTTGCAATTAAAACATAACCTATCAATATCAAAATAAGAATAATTTGGATACACAGACAATAGTTTCACAGGCAATTCCGAATTGTCGAAAAATGTTACTTTGACCAGTCATTTACGTAACCCATTACAATCAAACCGGATGTTCTCTTTGAAGCGACATTGGAATATTGTCTCACAATATTGCAATTTTGATAGGCTGATTGCTTTGCCTTTGAGCAATTTGGAAGCGACGTGAACAAATTGCAAGTTCAAATTCACAAAAGATTTGAATTTGTTCACGTTGCTTGTAAATTGCTCAGAGCAATCTGCCTGTCAACATTGCAATATTGTTGGACAATATTGCAATATTGCTGGCAAGAGAACACGCGATTTGACAGTAAGTTGCACTGACATTGTGCCTAATGCACCCTATTTAATAGACCTTTCCAGTAATTACGTCACGACTAACACTGTTTTCAACTTAGGATCACCTTAAACGGAATGAATTTTAAGTTTGTTTCTCACGGACTATGATCAGAGGAGCAGAACATCCTCCGTCAACACATGCATAAAAAAGAATTTTGGATTTTGACCAATATTATGTGGAAATAAGCTTAACACGAAAACGAGGCTGATGGGTCAAGCCTCGTTTTCGTGGTTAAGCTTATTTCCACATTAATTGGTCAAAATCCAAAATTCTTTTTCATGCATGTGTTGACTAAGGATGTTCTGCTCCTCTGATCATAGCCAGTGAAAAACAAACTTGAAATCTATTCCATTTAAGGTGGTCCTCTAAGTTGAAAACCAACCTCGTAGCCAGGAGGGGAGCGGAGATAAAACCCTGGGTACGAGGTTGGTTGAAAACAGTGTTAGTCGTGACGTAATTACCGGAATGGTCTATTGCGCTGCTCATATGCATTTAGGTAACTGATTAAAGTTGCAATGTGGGGTACTTTATTAATTTACTCTGCCTGATGCTACATGATTTTACTTGTCCAGGGGAGAGTGCTGGTACTCAGTGAGTTAAATCTGATCATATTTGGCCATGCTTGATTGATCACAATGACACAAAAAAGTACGATTTCACAACTAAATGCCTGCTCTTCATTGGTATAGAAAAAATATCTATATATATAATACCTGATACACAATAACATGCCAAAACAGAGATTGCCTTTTGTTGAAACACTCTGTATAACATTACCTTAAGTCAAGAGGGAATCCTCTTAGCTGGTTAAAACCAGAGAATTTAGCTTGTTCTAAGACAGTCTTAAGCATTATTTTGAATAAACAATTATCAGTGTGTCTAAGTGTCAAACTTACACATATTTTCGTTTGGGAGATAAAACCTCAGCAACTGCTCCGTACCTGACTTTATTCATGACAGGAAGATACTCCCATGTAGAATCTCCCATTGTAAAACACTCCACTGAATTGAGATCTCCATTCTTCTCATTCTCACCTCCCATCACAACAATGGTATTTCCAGTAACAACTGCACAACATTTAACTCTCTTCTCCAACATGGATGGTAAAGCTGTGGTCTTGCCCGTCTTGCAGTCATACGTGAAAACATCATTCAGAGCTTGACGATCCATATCACGCCCTCCAAGCACAACTACTTGATCTCTCAAGCGAACAGTTGCTACTCTCGTCACGGGATGTGGTAATGGTGGCATCTCCTTACATTTATTCTTCTTTACATCAAACTCCAACACACTATTTAAAGGACGACTGTTACGATCTTCTCCTCCCAAAATCAAGACTTTATCTTCAAAAGTCTCAGCACCATGACGAGATCGTGGATCAGGCAGTTGGCACAACTTTTTCATAGTGACAGGTGAGGTAAGTTGCAATTCACTGATCACGTCAGACCATCTTGGATCATAATTATATCCACCAATGTGAATGATGCGCTGTTGGTAAGCAACGGTTTGATGATCATCACCCCGATAAGGAAGTTTTCCAGGATATTTCATCCATTTCAAAACCAATTCATTGAGATCCAATGTTTCTATTGTCTTAGTACCCGCTCCCCCAACCACAAATATCTGATCATTATAAATAAATGACGAAGCTCCAGAATGCCCTTTATTCATTGTTGACACCTCAAACCAACCATTCTTCTCCCAGGAATATATTTCAGTACTGTTATTCGAAAGTGCTCGACCACCTGCAATCAAAATGTCTTCCCTTGGTGTCTTCAACATTCCCTCAGTCGGAGATGGCAGTTTGTTAAGCTGTTCAATCCTAACTAACTTCTCTAACACTTGACTTGTCATCATTTTGACTTGGTCGACATCTTTGTTCACTTTTGAAACACTTTCTTTTACGCCTTTTACTTCTTTCTTAACTTCTTCGACTTCTTTCTTAACTTCTTCGACTTCTTTCTGAACTTTTTGTTGCTCTTGTTTCATTTGATCTTGGCTGTTCTTTACTGCTTCCACTTTCCCATCCAGTTCATTTAAACTTCCATCCAATTTCCCTACAGTCTTCTTCATCTCTTTATTTGCTGCTTCCACTTTCCCATCCAGTTCCTTTAAACTTCCATCCAATTTCGCCACGGTCTTCTTCATCTCTTTATTTGCTGCTTCCACTTTCCCATCCAGTTCACTTAAACTTCCTTTCAATTCTCCCACTGTTTTCTTCATCTCTTTATTTGCTGCTTCCACTTTCCCATCCAGTTCACCTAAACTTCCTGTCAATTCTCCCACAGTTTTCTTCATCTCTTTATTTGCTGCTTCCACTTTGCCATCCAGTTCTATTGAACTACCTTTCAATGTTCCCACATCTTCCTGTATCTGTCGACAGTCATGACACTTCATTTTCCGGTATTGACAAATTTCAGTCTCATGATGGACTCTTTCCCGCTTGTTGATGACCATACCACACTCTGCATTTGAACACAACACAGGAGCATAACCACAATTTGCCACATGAGTTTCGAGATCTTCAAGACAGGTCAACTCAACACAACCTCGACTGGCATGATCACAATTTATCTTCAGTTTAGACAAACAATTACTCGCTAAACGTGCCTTACGAAGCGTATCTACGCTCAAATCCTCCTTACATTCAGGACACGTTTGAGAGTTTACACGTAGGTGTTCACTGATACAGCCAAGACAAAAGATGTGTTCGTTATTTCTGCACGTCCTCGGGTCTTTGAGAACATTGTGACAGATAGAACAGTGGAAATTTTCGTCGACATCTTTCTCAAACCGAGAGTCTTCGTAGCCATACATTTTCTCTTCCGTTGGGCAAAAAGCCATTCTTTACCGCCCACAAAACATTGCTACCCCATTGTAAGAACAGAATACGAATGGTCTTTCTTTGTAAGATTTATCTTGAACTTTACAGCAAATAAATCGACAACAAGAAATAGGCGAGGTTTTGTTGAAATACTTCCGCCTTCGCTTTGGTTTTGCAATAACAAACTAATTACAGCCCAAAAATGCGTAGTATTTGTCTCTTTTATGTAGTCACCATGGGTAGCCACCACAAACGTAGTCAGCTAGCTTGCATAATAAAGATCTGAAAGCTCGCGCGTGAAAATCTAGGGAAATCTTTTTCAAGCTGGGTGACTACATAAAAGAGACAAATACCACGTATTTTTGGGCTGTCTACTGAAAATACGTGGAAATGTCAAGTCATAAGGCTAGTTTCCACTCAGGAAAATTATCCATGGATTGGAACGGACAAGAAAATTTTTCTTTGTGTTAAAGTCATTAGTTCTAACCCAGAGCTGACAAGGCAAAGAAAAATTTTCTAGTCCGTTCCAATCCACGGATAATTTTCCTGAGTGGAAACAAGCCTTTATGATCGAAGGTCATGACGTCAATTCCTTTAGAGAAGAACATTGCATGCTTGTGTGTGTGTTTTGATGTTACTCCAAAACATTGGTTTACCGAATTAGTCATTGTGCTGTTTTGTATTGTATTGTGTTCTATTTTACTGTTTTGATAGTTTTAGAATGGTAAACACCTTGCATGGGTGCTTGATATTGTCGTGATATATATCGTGCTTGATATTGTCCATTCTACTTATTTCTATTGCTGTGTTTAAAACTTTGTAAAATTTTCTGTTAAATTGTCAATTGTTAAATTCTTATTTCCTATATGTAATATGAGGACATATATAATTTCCACTTCCTTGTATTCCAATGATTGTTAAGCTGGCACAAATTTAAGACTCAGGTTGTACTTAGTCTTCAAATTAAAGTATTTAAAAAATTCATTAATAATTCACGAGGAAAATACAAAAGAAATGAATGTTTAATCAATGTTTGTAAATCAGATAAAGATTTGTCCTGATTTACATTAACTTCAACTTTGATTTTCTCGGCTTAGACAATGTTTATTTTTAAAATTACTTTGCCAATTAACTCATAAGATGGGTCGTTTTTTAAGTACGATAATACATTCGCATCCGATCTGTATCTGATATACAAACTCTCGCCTTCGGCTCGAGTTTGTATATCAGATAAGATCGGCCGCTCATGTTTTATCTAGTACATAAAGAGTACTTTTGAACAAATAATCATTCAGTAATCTAAAACTACGAGTTAGAACAAGAGGCACAATTGCAAATACAAACACGACTGAAGCATTCCTTAGTTCCACGAGTCCAATCATGTTTCTATCAGACTTTAATACACATATACCTACTTATTACTTAATTATGCTTTTGAATGTATTGGGCATGGAAAGTTGACGTGGTTTTCCAACAAATTATAAGCACGTAGGTACACAAACTCTCGCTATCTGCCTGCTACTCGACTGACAACGAAAAACTACCAGACCGTAAAATTGGCATATGCAATGGCGTAGGCAGCCCGACAATTTAGGGACCGGTCATTAATAATGAGAGGGGGGGGGGGCGTTGGGTAAGCAATGGGACAAGTACTGTGGACCAGTATTCAAAATGGTTGTTATTTACTCAGACTCCTATGGTGAACTGCATATACGTAAAACGTGGAAACTATGATTATAGGAACTAAAAAAGGTTTAAATATTTTGAAATGAGTAGGAAAGTATTAAAAAATTGGGGTCGCCCTTTGTCACATATTTTTCAGTTTAAGGCCGCCCCCAATTGAGGCAAAAATTGTTGAAGCCACCCCCTTTTTTCACCCACCGCCCCCCCTCCCATTATTAATGACCGGTCCCTTAAGGCGGTTTTCCAGTCCTCGCACGAAGCTCCTCGCAGCTCGCTGCGAGTGCTTGCATGTAATTAAAATGAACTGTTTTGCATTGTGATTGGATGAAAGTGCTCATGCATCACTCGCAGCGAGCTGCGAGGAGCTTGGTGCGAGGGCTGGAAAACCGCCTTTAATCTCGCTGTGCAAATTCAAAATTATTATCATTATTCATTTCTTTAGAAATTTTGATTGATTTTAAAGTCAATGAACACATTATTATTTAATGCTAACCTATACATTACTTCCTACAGAATATGCAAAAGACTACAACAAATTATATTTTTCATTTTATTACGTATTATATTCTAACTTCTAATACCTCGTACAATAGTCAATACTTGGATCAACAATTTATCTAAAAACGTGAAATTTTTCAGAGACAGGTTGTATAAAACACCCAACTATTTTGAACCACTATTTTGTGGTTGAATAGTAAATAATTCTAAAATACTTGATTAACCCTTCACACAAACTGTAGTTAACTTGGACTAACTATACAAGCAGCTCCAGGATTCATGAATTGAACTGTGTTCATTACAGTCTTAGTCATTATTACACTTTAGTATTTTTGCACAAGTGAACATAACAAATCCTACACGTTGATTGGTTAAATTTGACGTATTAAACTATTATATTCACCTACAGGTGAATATAACAAAACCGAAATTTTCAAAATGGCGGCTAGCCGTTTTGTGGAAGTTACTGATAAAGAAATAAGCGAAATTAAAATAAATTCAGTCCCCAAAACACAAAGACTTGTGTAAAAATACTAAAACAATTATTCGCCTCAGGCTCGGTGATTGTTGGGGAATATTCACCTCGACTTCGTCTCGGCGAATATTCCCCGATAATCACCTCGCCTTCGGCGAAAAATTGTTAAATGTCTTGCAATTAAAACATAACCTATCGAGTATCGATATCGAAATAAGAATGATTCGGATACATAGACAATAGTTTCACAGGCAATTCAGAATGCTGAAAAAATGTTATTTCGACCAGCCATTGTGCCTAATGCACACTATTTAATTGCTGTGCCCAGAGTAAATCAGAACCTATGCATCTACTTTATTCATTTACTGTTCCCAATGTCAGATGATTTTACTTGTCAAGAAGAGAGCGTTGGCACTCAATGGGTTAAATATGATCACATTTGAACATGCTTGATCGCAGTGGCACAAAAAGTATGATTTAACAACTAAATGCCCGATCTTTATGGGGTATAGGAAAGGTATCTATATACCTAATGCATAATACCAAAACAGAGATTACTTTCTGTTGAGACACTTTGTATAACATTACCTTAATAATCAAGAATTCCCACTTAGGTGGTTAAAACCAGGAAATATGACCTGTTCTAAGATAATCTTATGCATTATTTCGAATACACATTTAGCAGTGTATCTTAGTGTCAAACTTACACATATTTTCTTGTGGGAGGTAAAACTTCAGCAACTGCTCCGTACCTGGCTTTATTCGTGGCAGGAAGATACTCCCATGTAGAATCTCCCATTCTAAAACACTCCACTGAACTGAGATCTCCATTCTTCTCATTCTCACCTCCCATCACAACAATGGTATTTCCAGTAATAACTGCACAACATTTAACTCTCTTCTCCAACATGGATGGTAAAGCTGTGGTCTTGCCTGTCTTGCAGTCATACATGAAAACATCATTCAGAGCTTGACGATCCTTATCACGTCCTCCAAGCACAACTACTTGATCTCTCCAGCGAACAGTTGCCATTCTCGTCACGGGATGTGGTAATGGTGGCAACACCTTGCATTCATTCTTCTTTACATCAAACTCCAACACACTATTTAAAGGACGACTGTTACGATCTTCCCCTCCCAAAATCATGACTTTATCTTCAAAAGTCTCAGCACCATGACGAGATCGTGGATCAGGCATTTGGCACAACTTTTTCATAGTGACAGGTGAGGTAAGTTGCAATTCACTGATCACGTCAGACCATCTTGGATCATAATTATATCCACCGATGTGAATGATGCGCTGTTGGTAAGCAACGGTTTGATGATCATCACCCCGATAAGGAAGTTTTCCAGGATACTTCATCCATTTCAAAACAAATTCATTGAGATCCAATGTCTCTATTGTCTTAGTACCCGCTCCCCCAACAACAAATAACTGATCATTATAAATAAACGATGAAGCTCCACAATGCCCTTTATTCATTGATGACACCTCAAACCAACCATTCTTCTCCCAGGAATATATTTCAATACTGTTATTCGAAAGTGCTCGACCACCTGCGATCAAAATGTCTTCCCTTGGTGTCTTCAACATTCCCTCAGTCGGAGATGGCAGTTTGTTAAGCTGTTCAAGCATAATTAACTTCTCTAACACTTGACTCGTCATCACTTTGACTTTGTCCACGTCCTTGTTCACTTTTGAAAGACTTTCTTTTACATCTTTTACTTCTTTCTTAACTTCTTTGACTTCTTTCTTAACTTCTTCGACTTCTTTCTTAACTTCTTCTTGGTCTTGTTTCATTTGATCTTGGCTGTTCTTCACTGTTTCCACCTTCACATCGAGTTCCCTTAAACTTCCGTCCAATTTCGCCACAGTTTTCTTCATCTCTTTATTTGCTGCTTCCACTTTGCCATCCAATTCTATTAAACTTCCTTTCAATGTTCCCACATCTTCCTGTATCTGTCCACAGTCATGACACTTCATTTTCCTGTACTGACAGATATCAGTCTCATGATGGACTTTTTCTTGCTTGTTGATGACCATACCACACCCTGGATTTGAACACAACACAGGAGCATAGCCACAATTTGCCACATGAGTTTCGAGCTCTTCAAGACAGGTCAACTCAACACAACCTCGACTGGCATGATCACAATTTATCTTGAGCTTAGACAAACAATTACTCGCTAAACGCGCCCTACGAAGCGTATTTACACTCAAATCCTCCTTACATTCAGGACAAGTTTGAGAGTTTACACGTAGGTGTTCACTGATACAGCCAAGACAAAAGATGTGTTCGTTATTTCTACACATCCTTGGTTCTTTGAGAACATTGTAACATATAGAACAGTGAAAGTGTTCGTCGACATCTTTCTCAAACCGAGAGTCTTCGTAGCCATACATTTTCTCTTCCGTCGGGCAAAAAGCCATTCATTACCGCTCACAAAATATTGCTACCCCATTGTAAGAACAGAATACGAATGGCCTTTCTTTGTAAGATTTATCTTAAACTTTACAGCAAATAAATCGACAAGAAATAGGCGAGCTTTTGTTGAAACACATCCGCCTTCGCTCTGTGTTGCAATATTAACAAACTAATTAGTGTAATAACAGTCCAAAAATGCGTGGTATTTGGCTCTTTTATGTGGTCACCATGGGTAGTCATCATTATTATGGTAATCACCCACCTTGCATGGAAAGTTTTGAAAGCTCGCGCGTGAAAATCTACGCGCGAGTGCCACGCGAACGCGAAAAATTTTCACGCGCGAGCTTTCAAAACTTTTCCAAGCCGGGCGACTACATAAGAGACAAATACCGCGCATTTTTGGGCTGCCTACTGAAAATACGTGGAAATGCGAAGTCATATGACCAAAGGTCATGACGTCAATTTCATGACAGAACAACTCTGCATGCTTGTGTGTGTGTGTGTGTGTTGATGTTTGTGCTGTTTTGTATTGTATTGTGTTCTATTTTATTGTTTTGATAGTTTTAGAATGGTAAACACCTTGCATGGGACTTTATGTCTCGTTCGTGCTTGATATTATTCGTATTTCCTATATGCAATATGAGGCATATATAATTTCCACCTGCTTGTACACCAATGATTATTAAGCTGGCACAAATTTAAGACTCAGATTGTACTTAGTCTTCAAAATAAAGTACATAAAGTATAGTTTTGAACAGATATTCATTCAGTGACCTGAAACTACGAGTCTAGTCATGTTTCTATCAGACTTACACATATGCCTACTTAAGCAGGGTTCGTATAGTCTCCAAGACCAAAAAAATTCAAAGACTTTCAAAGATTTTTTCTGACTTTCAAAGACCTTTGAGAGCAATCAGCTGTCGAAAAATTGTGAGTGTAAGCACCATTTTCACCCGGGTAATTAGTCCCGCCAAATCACATCCTAAAATGCGCCTTTTCGTCGATATTTGTGAAATTCTTGCTCTTCAATTAATTTATTTTATTAGCTTATTATTCTCTTCGCTTTTTCACATAATTCAAAGACCTTTCAAAGTCTCAAAGACCTTTATAAAGACCTGCATTCAAACTGGAAGACTTTCAAGAATTTCAAAGACCGCTGCAAACCCTGTTATAAGTATGCTTTTGAATGTATTGGGCATGGAAATTTCACGTGATTTTCCAACAAATTATGCGTGGTACTTGATTGAAAACGAAAAAGTATACCAGAGCGTAATATTGGCGTACCTCCTTCTTTGGGAAATTATACGAGAGGCTATATTATAGAAGGCCTCTAGCACCCTATAATATTATATAATATAAACAATTCAAGTAGAAAAAATAAGCGAATTGTGACCGTGAAAGGAACTGGTATATCTGATACAAAAATCTTGCTGATGAGTCGCCATTTTTAAGTTTATGGTTTGGAATCCCGGCAAACTGCAAAGCCACAAAATAGAAGACTAAAGGTTTGATGTCGAACTGTAACCACACCGTGCACAAATCCTTTGTCTCAACTTCAATAAATATTATTCATCGTGGCTGCCATCTACAGCTTAATCACCGTGACCGTGCAAAAATTAACATAAACTCAGACAAAAATATATAACAAACACTTTTGTCTTGTTTCCAGACCATCATATCTTGATACACTAACGTCTGTATTCTAAAAGCTCACTCACACTCAATGAGTGGAGGTTCAATCTGAGCTTCCCTTGAGTGTCAATGCTGTTTTGAATAGCTGGAGGGTGAGTAGTCTCATAGTAAGGTCACTTACGCCTGTATTCTAAAAGCACACTCACACTCAGTGAGTGGAGGTTCAATAGTCACATAGTAAGGTCACTTACGCCTGTATTCTAAAAGCTCACTCACACTCAATGAGTGGAGGTTCAATCTGAGCTTCCCTTGAGTGTCAATGCTGTTTTTGAATAGCTGGAGGGTGAGTAGTCACATAGTAAGGTCACTTACGCCTGTATTCTAAAAGCTCACTCACACTCAATGAGTGGAGGTTCAATCTGAGCTTCCCTTGAATGTCAATGCTGTTTTTGAATAGGTAGAGGGTTAGTGCAGTACTGTGCTATGTGACTACTCACCCTCTAGCTATTCAAAAACAGCATTGACACTCAAGGGAAGCTCAGATTGAACCTCCACTCATTGAGTGTGAGTTTGAGTGAGCTCTTAGAATACAGGCGCATCTCTATGATTTACTGAACTCTTTGTCAATTGCATGTGTACACGTGTACGTACAACATATTTTCTATGACAAGTTTTTGGTTTTCTGAGCGCCAAGATAGCTATAATAAACTAATACAACTATAGATTGCTGACCAACCGCGCATGCTAGTGCTCAGATTCCTTTGCCAAATTTTCTTTGTTGACCTCCACAGGCGAACACAATTGACACAATTTATACTTTGCCAATTTTTTCTACTGTATGACAAATACTCTTGTTCAAAAGCTTGGATACTAGCTTTTGAACAAGTGTGTACTTGTCATAGTAAAAATTGGCAAATTGCCTATAGCGACAAGCAAGCAAAACTTGTCATAAAAATTTCGCTCGTCTATAATCGACTTAAAACTAGCCTCCCTAATTTTCGCTGCCCGTAAAAAAACAGCCTGCCACGCAGGCTAACTTAAAACCTGTAGATCACGTTCGCAATATCGTCCAAAATGAGTATAAAGTTAGTGTATAATAAATAAGTATAATAAACGTGTACTTACGGGTTTTCCATCAGTAATTAGATAGATGCCTTGAACATCTGGATCTTGAAATGCAGCCTTTAATTAAAAATAGATTAGGATCGACCTTAATATTTTCTTAGAAACTTAGAGACTTTAAAAGGGTGCGCTTACATCTTCAGGCATGGTTTACTTTTTGAAGCAGCAATGCCAATGGCATGCATGGCTTTTACTCCAATACAAATACAAATACTCGAGTCGTATATGAGCTGATAGTTGTTGAACCAAGCAAGAATCAAAACAAGTAGTTGTTGATTTCACATCTATAAACTGACCTTGTTTTCAGTTCATGCAGTTTAATTTCTTCCAAAAGGCGCAAAAAATTATATTCTGTTCATGTTTTTTTTGTGCAACATACGTATTTGGTTTCCTTCAAATTCTCAAGCTGCAAGGTAACAAATTTTTCTGCAACCTACCCCTGTATAACTCTAGGTCCTGCATTCACAGACTCATATATGTGGCAATAATATTTGATTTAGCAATCCACACAACTAGCCCTAAACCTGACAAAACATGCACTGCTGCTATTTCTTTAAATAATACTTCAAACGTTGCTGAAAACCTGAATTTTTTATATATTTAAGGCTTTTTAAACAAAACAAATAGTTGTTGATTTCACATCTATAAATTGACCTTGTTTTCAGTTCAGTTTAAATTTCTTCCAAGAAATTATATTCTGTTCATGTTTTTATAGCCTATCTTCGCTCTTTCGGCTTATTTTTTAAAAAAATACATTTTTTTAACTAGTGTAAATATTAAAATTTATTCGCTAAGCTGTAAACAATTGCTGGGGGTGTTTTCATTCGGTTTTTATCTCGTTTAATGCAATAAACAGTACATAACTTGCTGTTTTCTAGTTCAAAATTTTTTGAGCCGCCATCTTGTTTTTTTTTCTACAGGCAGGAAATGAACTATATCCCTGCTAGTAGAGAGCCAATCAAATTGCGGGTACATCCTCGGGTAGAAGAATTTGCATCACAGACTACGTCATCAGTTAGTTATAGCGATTAGTTTTGAGGTTAGGGTAAGGGTTAGGGTAAGGGTTAGGGTTAGGGTGAGGGTTAGGGTAAGGATTAGGCTTAGAGATAGGGATTTGGTTATATCTGACGCCACAAACAACACAACTAGCCGATCACGTGATCACTTCTCCTCTACCCGAGGAACTACCCCAAATTGCAGACTTATACCCGGTAGTTGTCTAATGTCCATATAATAAACCTTATAGAGGGCTGATAACCCTGACTGTAAAGCCTTGCTATTAGACCTACCTGCAAAGCTTCGACAGTGCAGGCCCCACCATAAGCTTGAAATGTTTTAATCCACTCTACAGCATCCTCGCAGTTTTCTTCAGACGGAGCGACAACACTTGGACGCCATAATGTCGGTTCATTTGAAAACGTCACAAGATTGAACCTGTAGACATGACAATGTTCATGAGATAAAATGAACTAATGAACTGCATCTTGGCAGGGGCGTAGGAAGCATCTAAAAGTTGGGGGGGGGGGGCAGGCTTTTTCGAATGAAAAAGGGCACCTAAATTTTTCCCGGAAATGTTGGGGGGCAGGGGTTGGGGGAGGTCATCTCAAAAATTTTTCCGGAGATTTCACATTTTTTCCCGAAAATGAAAAAATTTTCCGGACATCCCTAAAATTTTCCCCGAGATATCATATTTTTTCCGGAATATGAAAAAAAGTTTCCCGTCATAACATAATTTACCCGAAAATAACAAAATTTTCAGGACATACCAAAATACAAAAACAAATGCAATCATAAATCAAAGGCCGTTGGGCAAAAAATGCAATCTGAACGACATTTTTCATGGAGGTAAAGGGCACTTTGCTCCCGGAAAAAGGGCACTTTTGAAAACTTGGGGGGGGAGGCTGCCCCCCCCTGGCCCCCCGGTTCCAACGCCCCTGCATCTTGGTCTTGGTGGCATAGCTTTTTTGTATAAACAACAGGGTCTTAGCTAGAAGGTCGTGTTATCGGCAGCAAAAAGCGAAACACGGTCTGCGTTACGGAGGCTTTTCTGTCACAGGAAAAAATCACATTTATTTATAAATGGTAATAATGGATTTGTCAATGTAAAAACTGAACCTACAATGCAACTATCTGAAAAATATAAGGAGGATTTCGACGTTTCGAGCGAAGGCCCTTCGCCTGGAGTAACTAATGCTACTATAAATATTATAAAGGGTCTATAAACATCGTGGTTTTAACCAATTTACCACACGGGAAATCTATAATACCCAATAATGATAAGAGTTAAGTTTTTACATCGATAGTATGCATGGTAAATCTTTAAAAACCATTCAAAAACCATTAATGGAAATTTAAAATATTTTTCCTGAGTGTAACTCCAGTACGACCCTTACCTAGGACTTATTTAATATGTAATTACGGTGTCTTTAAAGAGGACATGCAAGTTAGAATAGTCCTGTAAATGGTGGTCCTCCAAGTCTAAATACCGGGTGGCCCAAAAAAAAGTACTCCTGTTTGATTCGTAATAACTTCTAAACAAGTAAAGTTTTTAAAGAGAAATAACTTGCATTAAATAGAGGAAGGACTAACTTAGATTTTGATATATTACAGTTGTATTTAACTTAAAAATTCACGGATATATTAATGTTAAAAATGGGGAGCATATTTTGGAATGTGTCTAAAATTAGCGAAAATCGGCATATCAAATATTAACTCCAGCGTTTGTTTGCTTAATGACATATTAGGCTAACTTGTATTTCAGCGAATTACCGTTAAGGTTTGTAAGGGATATGGCGTAGATTTAGACATCTTACATGTAAGTCTTAGCTCATTGTTTCCTGAAATATGAACGTTCGAAATTATGCAAGTATTTAATATTAGGATCTTTGCAAACTTAAATGTACATGAAAGACTGACCATGGAAGGCAGGCGCTTAAATTTTTCGTATTCTTAAATAGCCTAATTTTTTTATGTTTTTAATGGGTTCAAACAGACTGAGTACATTATTTCTCGGTTAGAGCAGGATGAATATTCTTTATTGAAGGAAATAATATTGCTTTTTGCAAATACACATCACCGTATCAACGCTGCTATTTGTTACGTTTTGTTCCAAAAATGTTGCATGTCTCTGGGGAGTTGCTTAATTGTTATGTCTTATGGAGTTGTATGGTTTGATTGTGTTTCATATAATTCTCAGTTTACTCCATGAACTTGCCAAGATTAAGAAACGGCAAAAGAGTTTGGGTGTTCTTAATAAGATTTCAGAACGTTGCAGAAGTTAGAAGAGCTTCACAATTCCGTTGTGACAGCATGCCCTAATTCAGAACTACGAACGATCCAATGACGATCCTTCGCGATGCAGTGGTCTCATGAAATAAGGAAACGTATTCG